AGGGACAACAGCGAGGGCAACGGTCTGCCTTGAAGGAAGTCACGGCGACATTGGCCGGGGATGGTGTATATGAGAGACTTCGAAGGGCTCGCAAAAGGTGGAGAGAGCTATATTTGGATCGAAGAGGCGAGGAACATGCAAGTACGATGAGGCTCCGAGTAGGTCGAGGATAGGATCCGGTTGTAAGAAACAACTGTCTGCATGGAGGACGAATGAGAAAGAGGGGCGGCACATGTTGGAGGAGGTGTATCTATGAATATCGCGTCTGCGCCTGGAGACGCCCATCCAGTATTGGTGGTTGGGATGGCGAAGGAGGGGAAACACATTGATTGAGCAATGAAAGAGTTGGTCGAATGGGTCATTGTCGAGGCAGGTCAACAATACTCGGTTGATTCGGTCCCTCGATAGTCTGCAGCAGGCATGAGGAATCAACATGGAGTGTGGGAGCTATCGACACCCATTGGCTAGTGGGGGGTGGAGGGCGCTTCGAAGCTAAGATTAGACCTCGAGAGCTTCGACGAGTCCCCACGAACAAGTCAGTTAGCGCCTCTGGGTCCAGGCCTGCTTCAGGACCCCCGGCTCATCCACACCCCCTGGTCAGGCCCTAGGCCCATTGTTCAACGCCCAATCTGTACTGGGTACGAGGTACGTCCTCGGTAGAACCAGTTGGCTCATGGCTACCCTTGGGCGGTCGAATGCCAACCCCCGAAGGACAATCGAGCCACTGAGAGCACAGGCTATCTCTTCTGCTAATCGAGGTGGCCAGCCGACCGAGTCGGGACAAGGGCATCAAACCATCGGGTCTTAGGTACGTGAAATGGCCTAGATCCGCTCACAATGCGGTCATGCGGAACTGCACAGGCGAGATACATCTGAGCTTGGTGGGAGAAGGCGCACACTGCTTGTATCCGGAAGGTACCAACTTCTGGGGTGAACCACGAGAAGTCGTTACCAAAGCTGTGAACACGACCAACGCAATGACGCTGCTATGTGGCTGGCCATGCAATCGGCACACTGGGTTTCTTTGCTGTATCCCAGATATGAGAAAATGAGGTGAGTTTCCCCCAAGCGAGTCGTCGCACACATCATGAGCCCACAGCCACACGGATAGGTGCAGTGCTAACGCTTCACTTTGTCAACACAGTGCTTGCAGAAGTTTCCGAAATGGGCCTCGATATTGACAACGCCTTGGCCCATACCTGCTAGAAACGTTGATCGGAGGAAAAATTCTCCTTCTGCCACATGCGCTTGTCATTTTTCCGCAACGTTGGCATTGTCCCACCGTCTCGAAAAATTTGGACTGTCTTCTGTACACTGTTGCACGGTCCAAAGTGTGCCCGCAGTTGTGTCAGTAGTACGTTGATCGGCTTGATCGGGTCTGATCTTTAGGAGCCCAGCACCAAGTGAAGTACTGGGTACGAGAGGGGGGTCAGCCGGGGAGACAGAAGGCAGTCTGGCCTGATCAGGTGAGAGAAAGGTTTGAGAAAAAAGCCGATGGTGTGCAGGAAAAGCTGGAAAAATGCCACTGATTGGATGTGGGTGGCCGAATCAAGGTCAAAGGCTGGGGGCTAGTGCCGAAGCTATCCTGGGTGAAGGAAGGGAGGGAAGGGAGGGAAGGGAACCTGCCCTGCTGGGGTGAAGTTCAATCTGGGTGTTGAAAATCGCGGGAGCGACGGGAGCCAACCGTGATGCCAAGACAACTCTCGTGCATTAGCCTTGCATTAGCCTCATCTGTTAGTGGAGTGGGTCTCTAGTGGGCGTGGTGGGGAAACAATTGCCAGGAACTGGTCAATGGTCCGCATGCACCAACGGTCTGCAGGCCTCACAGGTGGGTAGTCACACTAGCTGCGTCTTGCTGCAAGCTCTTGCGAATTTTCTCGGGAGCTTGGGCCAGCCTATAGTACTCGGTACAATGCTCGATGACTCGATTCGCTTGCGGCAGTCTGGTACTGGGTAATCCGTTCGAGCTTGACCTCGTCAGTCCTCGTCTTCCCCTCAATCTCCCCCTCGCTTCTCTGATTGCATAGGTACAGTAGGTACAAGTGACTGTACCTTCGTCATGATGCTCTTATTTTTAGAACTTCCATGCATCTCATTGTTTCCATGCCTTGCTCGAAGCGATCGTGATTGTTTGCGAATCAACGAGGGTACGCAACTCATCGGAATTAAGTAGGGCTGTCGGAGATGGCGTTCATGTGCATCTCCCTTCAGGAGTTGCTGCTGCTTCTATTCTAAGGACAGCGGTTGGATTTGAGTTTGGAAGATACCATATACCTTTGGGAGACACAATTCCATTGCATTGTACGCCGTGTGTCGTACACCACAGATGGAGCCAGGTTTAGGAAGGCTGCCCTCGTCTCGCATGGGCGTGTTGTCATTGTTCTTCCTCACATTTCCATGCTTATGTGCAACTCTACAACTTGGAGCATAAAGCACAGCTGCGTGCGTCATGGTTACACGCACAGAATGCAACGATTGTTCTTGTGCTACCTCCGTACCACAATGGCACTTCCTCCATGCCGGCCCTCCATTCACGTGGAGGGTCTGGAGAAGCTCCCTTCCATGCACAACATCCATCTTTCATCACCACTACCCGCAAACCCTCCATAGCCCTTTCGAATCCATCGAGCAACCAGAACCCATACACCGAACTGCCAAGAACACAAGCCTGGGCAACCGTTGCTGGCCTAGAGGGGTCGAATTTCATCCCACGGCCTTTGAGATCTAGGTCCACTATCACACCTCGGTAAATGGATTCAGCGGAGGAGCAAGCAGCAGTCTCCGAGCACGCAAGCGAAGCTGCAAGTCGCCGAGGGACAAAGCTCGGCTCCATGCCCTCCACCACCTCTAAAGGTTCTTTTTGTCCTCGTTGGAGCTTAACTCGCAGTTTTGGCTAGGCTTTTTGCAGAAGGTCTGTCGCAGAAAGCGTCGACGCACTTGTTGGGAGGCACTGTGCAAGCTTGTTCATGCCGGATGCCGAGTGACCCAGTGACGACTTCCAAGGCAGCTTCCCGGTCCTGGGGCTCCCGGATGTACTTTAGGTACCTTGTAATGTCGTCCTACTGCCGGAAATGTTCCACGGCGAGGGCGGCGAGGGCGGCGAGGTTACTTGTGTCCTTGTGCCATATTGTTGGCAAAGAGCGGTGGGCTCACCGCTGTCAAGTTGTGGCTGCCATGTGCAGAGCGGTACGCCGCCATGAGGACGGAGATTATTCACCCTAGTCGCACGTGCGTGGAGAGTCTTTTGGAGATTTTCGTCAACATCGTGCGCAACTTGCTCTCGCACTTTCGTGGGAGGTAGACGAACCTCCCCCAGGGATGGTAGACGCTCAATTAAGTACAGTGCAAAATCTTTTTTTAAAAGTGTTGCTTGCAGGTGCGCTTAGAGATGAATATCACAGTTGAGCTACTGGGTATTGAGATCAATAATTGACACTTTAGCGAGAAAACGTGCCTCTTGCGGATTGCGAGAAAGGTGCGGGAGCGATGGCAGAAGCTCCCTAAAGTGGCACCTGATGGAAATTTGTCTCCACGCCAGTCTCAGTTTGGTTCTAGTGATTCCGCCAATCTGCCGATGAGTTGACGGGAAGACCTCCAAGACCTCTTATCACGGCAAGGGCCGCTTTCGCCGTTCCTGCGCTCTATCGGTGGAAAGTCTGTCTTCTGTCGAACCCCTCTCAGATTCCACCAGGGCAGGAGGGGTAGGAACACACAGTTAAGTGGTAGTCAGTCCACATGTAAAGGGTCCAATTACCTAGATCCAAAGCATCCCTGGGGTCTTTTCGATCGGGCTCTCGAATCAACTTGGATGGACGAAAGATCGATGGTGAATGTCGTGCCCGTTACTGGGTACAATGTCATCAGATAGAGGGGGGCTGCGCTTCCAGAAACCCGACACGTGTGGGATACACAGCGAAAATGTGCTACGTACTGAGTGCAGAGACTACATAGGTAGATCCTTGGCTTGATGCTATCTTGTGACTCGCACTGAGGAGACGATTGCTTGGTTCATCGTTAGCTCAGAAACGTTGCCGAGAGATCAGCAGGGCAGGAGAGCTTCCGAAGTTTATTGAGGCCAAACGGAGGCCAAGTGTATTTTCTTGAATGTGCGACCAATTAGAAAATTGGATTCCTGGAGGGAGGGGGTGAAATGGTGAGGAGGTTGGGAAAATGTAGGACAACGAGTGGGAAATTTGGCAAAAGGGGGGTTTAGCGGTACGGCACGTAGAGGAAAAGGCACGAAAAGGGAAGAGCCTAGGGGATCTTCGGTGGGAAAACGGCTCGAGCCAGGAGAAACCATAGCGAGTGAGAAGCGCCAGATACTATTCCAGGGAACAGACTATGTGGAGGCTATACCTAAGAAGGGAAGATGGTGGGAGTCTAGCTCCAACACATCGGAGGATAAGTGGAAAGGTATTTTTGGAAAGGAGAAGGTGGCTACAGTGATTGGCTGTAGTGTGGGGGATGGTCAAGCCGCAGGATGTTCTTGGGCCCCGCTCAGGGCTCCGCTCTTTCCTCCTCCATCACCCTCTTATGTGTTCCCATTGGTAGGAGTAGGCTGCGGGATAGTGGGGGCGGCCTTACCCTGACCGGGACGGCTCCAGCGCGTACTTTTCATAGATGCCCCTCTATTGGTGAGCTCCCTTCCTTCTCATCTCCAGCCTTCTCTTGCCGCCAGCCTATGTCAGCCTATACCAGCCCACAGCATCTTGCCTCCAACTGACTGGCTGCCTTTCTGTCGTTTCACATCTATCGCACACATATCCTCTGCAGTAGCGATTCAATATCCTGCATCCATCTCTGCAAGTACCCTGGTTTTTGCATCTCCACTTGTCACATTGCTCGACTCCTCTAACCGCCCGCATCCACCACAATGACCATCTATACATACATACCTGAACCCCTTCATGAATTTACATCTCCACCGTAATTCAATCTTCCAAGATTGACCTTCTGAAGAACTGTAAAGACCATCCCCATCATAGAGTATCTGTTAACCCATGGACTGGTCGACGCCATACTCTCCGCTTCAGCTGCAGCCAGTTGAGATGCTTCAGAAGCCACCCGACCTCTCCTTCCTCGGTCGACGGACAATCGCCCCCAGACCTCTGTCAGAAGCCACCGAGATTTTTGACACCGACAACGAGGACGACCCCGATTCAATTCCCAAGCCCTGGGACTCCCAAGATGACGATAGTCAATCAACCTTATCATCCAGCCGGGATGAGCTCCCAACCCCGCCTCACAGCGGTGGCCTCGACGGATTTGAGTTTCATTTCGACGACAGAGCAGTGCTGGGTCCACAAGGGCCTCACTTGTTCAGCGGCACGCCTGAGATCCTTACAAATCCCGACGACGACGTCTTCCTCAACATGTCTCCGATCGTCGAGCCAAAGACTCCTGCTAAACCCATCAACGCCCTCAACACTGCTGTAGCAGAACTCGACGAGTCTCAAGTTCGGGATTGGACTCCTCGGCAGGTTGCCGATTGGATGGCCGAGGCTGGCTTCGAGCAAGCGGTTGTGGAAAAGTTCCTCATACACGACATCTCCGGCAGTGTCTTGATCGACCTGCAATTCGAGGATCTCAAGGAACTTGACATTAGCTCCTTTGGAAAACGCCATAGAGTCATGAGCTCGATTCACCAACTCCGCAATAGCAGCATGATTTCCCTCGAGACACCACTCTCGAGAACGCCCTCGAGGAACAACAGAAGTCCCAGAGCTGTCCAGCGGGCTGCTCGCCCGGAAGAATGCCATGTCGTTGTTGATCGATCTCGCTCCCGGAGACGAGCTCGCCAGCCCGATGTTGTTACGCCTGCAGAGTCCGTCTCCATTGTTGGGATCGAGCAGGTGCTCCCCAAAGAGCACAAGTGCTCCAAAGGTGAAGACTGTCCCAAGTGGCAAAAGCAACAACGAAGGATCCTTCGTATGCAGCGCGCATGGGAAGACGACGCCCGCCGACCCGTATCTGAAGCCCACTCCGAAGCCTTGCCGTCGGTCGTCGGTTCATCAGACGTTCTTGGACCCTCTTCCGTGAAGATCACTGCCGAGAGCCTAAGTGGAGTCCAGCCTCGCGACCCTCAGGAGAGCGTCAGGCAGTTTCTCAACTTCCAACACCTCCACACCCCGTCACACTCCAGTAACCCTTCGCCCCCTCCTGCTGCCTCCGCTTCATTTGCCGCCAAGTCCGCTCATCTCGCCGAGCACCTCCGTGGTCTTCCCAAACTCACCATCCCCGTGGGCCAAACTCAAGACGAACTTCCTTCGCGGACACCCATCTCCGCTCTCCAACAACCCACCCAGATCCAGGCTCAACTCAAAGCTCAGCTTCAGCGCGATCCATATCACTATGGCGGCGTTGCATCTCCGGCTGACATCTACCGCATTGATACCCCCATGTCAGCCACTGATCTTCCCGTCACCGCCATGGCTCCAGACCCTTGCCAACGTGATGTGTCCCAATCTGTCCCTCCTGAGATGCGATATGGCGCAACTCCAGCGACAATTAGCCCCCCTGAACCCATCCAGCGCTGTGTGTCGACCCAGCCTGTGCCTCCTCGGCGCCATATCCGCCAGCAGTCTTTTACGCCCTCTGTGGCTCCCGTCAGGGAAATCGACTCACTGGAAACTCGTCCCGCGGCGCGAGTGACGGAAATCGAACTCGCGAATCACCAAGGTTGGATGCGGAAGCGGAAAACTACCCGGATGCTCCGACACGAGTGGCAAGACAATTATTGCACGCTGGTCGGCAACAAGCTCACGATGCACGACACCCACTACGCCAATGCGAATGCTCTTGAGGACATTGATGTGGACGAGTACACATTACATGCCTACGCACAAGCCGCGAGTTCGAAACTCAGCGCCGCCTTTAAGAAGAGCCTCTTGGGCCAGGGCAAGATTCCCGCTGGCGATCAGTCATTCGCCTTCTCCCTGATCCCCGATAACGAAAAGGTAAACAAGAAGATCTTTGACAAGAGCCACAAGTCTCACCACTTCGCGGTTGACAGCTCCAAAGAGCGAATCGAGTGGATGAGAAAGCTGATGCTGGCCAAGGCCATGAAGAAGAACAACAGCTGTCCGATTTAAAACTGAGCCATAGTCCTTTCCTCCCTCCCTACTTACCTCCTTTTTGTGAATATGCCTCCTCCCATGACGACTGAACGACTCTCCTACAAAGATGTTGCCTCGCGGCAATTCTACTTTTTCTCACAACATCCGTCATCATCATCATCATCAACTACTAGTACCGGATACTACACATTGCATCAGCCCCAGGAGAAACAGCAACGGAAACAGGATTCATCATTCATCATCATTATCATCATCATCAGCCTTCTTCTGCATTTAGCGACCGGAGCATTTGACTTTGACCTTACCACTTACCTATCTGACGGCGACATGATCAGATTTAGGGATTTGGGATTTATCTGTTGTCTCATCGACTTACTTACACTATTTTTGACCGAGATACCCCCAACATCTACGAAGTTGTGCTTCCTCAATTGGGGAGTTGCAAACCAACCCATTTACAGTGAACTCAATCTCATTTGTTGCCACACCACCACGACTACCACTACCGCCATCTCGCTGCCATCGAGCAGTCGTCCCACGCCTTCCGAGGAAGGATGGGCTCTTTGAGCCGTGGACAAGAGTCCTCGTGCATCTCCCTATATAGCTACTAGTATCACCTAGCCTAGTCAAACTCTCTTGAGGGGTAAATGGGGGTCTAATCCTCCTCATTGCCTCCAATGAATGAAACAAAAAAAAAGTTAATAAAAGCTCGTAGATGCCTTTTGTTTTGGTAAGATGTTTGTTCATCTTCGCATAAATCCACACCAGCAGTACATACTGTTGATTCTATTTTCTTCTTCCATCTAGCTCACCTCTCACCTTGATTATGGTAATCGCTGACAGCTGATTACTAAGTGCTAGCAGCTGTAACAGTACGTTTCGGGTTTTGTGAACCTCACTGGCAAGCTTTCTTCTGACTGCAATACTAGTATTACTAGTAGTACATAACTACAACACCTTCAGTATACCACCATCAGGAACAGGATCGCGAGAAGGACCCATCGATTAGTCGCACTATTGCTATAAAGAAGGTCGATAGGAACGAGTTAAGGTCGAGCAAAGAGCATAGGCGTAGTGATTTTCTATCTGAAGACTCTTCAAAAGTAGAGAAACTTCTTTAATACTACTAGTAACTAGTAAATAGAGAAGGTTCTTTCATGGCGGAGAAGATTCTTTTATATACTTCTATTCCATCTACAGTTAGGAATACTAAAAAATATCTTAGCGTCGCCGAATTGACTATTAGCATTCATGCCTCTTAAGTACTATATTGCCCGCCCGCCTAGCGTTAAACCGGTCCAACCCAGTTCCAGCCCGGTTCTGGCCTGGGCTGAACTCGATTTAAGAAGTTTATAGGTGGGCTAGACTGATTTGACCCGATTCGAATCAGTTCGAACCGATCTAACACCTATAGAGAAGACGACATAGTAGTATTTATGATATTAAAGGAGGATTATTTAAACAGGAGGTTATCATGGAAGTTTTCATTTCTACGAAATAGTCTTGTTAGAAAAGAGTCTTCGCTATAAAAAATTCTCTCATAGTATATAAGAGAACATTCTTAGCTATAAAAGAATGCTCTAAACTATCTATTATAATAATATACTATGGAGCTATAAGAAAGTATCGAAGCAGGGTCGAAGCAGGATCGAGACTTTCTAATCAACCAGAGATACGATATCGCGTCGAAGTCGTCCCCAAGATACTACTTGTAGTGTTAGAGAAGGGCTCGAGAAGTACCGAGAACCTAGAACTGACTAGAGATAGAATAAACAGCGCCTGAATGGTATTTATACTTAGTACGGTGTAAAATCCTTAGCGGTGGGCTTACTACTGGTGTAAATAATACTTTCGTAGAAGGTTAGTAGTAGTACCGTCAGCAACATTCTGAGGACGGTACGAAGTTTGCCGAAATTAGACTAGCTGGAAAACTACTGACCAATAGACATCCGCATAAATATCTTGGCACGAAATGGCTTGGCATATGAATTGTGTAGTACTATGCAGAAGGAGTGGTTCAAACCGTCTGCCTGTTTTTAAGTGAACCTATTGAGGAATTTAACTTCGAGTTTGTTAGGGAAGTGACTCGGTACAACTAGTAAGTTTCCCTATTATTTGTTCCTTTGGCTTGTCTTAATGTCCTCCTAAACCATTAGCAAACTCGAATCATGTCAAGCGGTGACGAGCTTTTCTGCCTTTCATTGAATCACGATGTTGGTCCCACCATAATCTTTTTGCATGGACTCTGCTCCAACCACACCGAATACGCGAAGGTGCTCCCATTTCTTCCCGGCCACCACCTGCTTGCCGTTGACCTCCCGGGCCACTCGCAATCATCACACCTTCTTCCGATCACCCTTCCCAATGCTGCCGACCAGGTCACTCGGGTGATAAAACGGCACGCCCGAGATGGTCGTGCTCATGTGGTGGGCTCATCCCTTGGTGGATTTGTTGCTCTTCAGCTGGCGAAGCGACATCCCGAGGTGGTCGACACCCTCTTCGTGACTGGTGCGGCCCCGTTCACCGGGTACAGGAGATGGTTCGCAGAGCACCCGAACGTCCTGTACTGCCTCCAGGCCCCCATTTCCAAGTACAGTCCCGGCTGGGTCGACAAGGCAATCTGCGCGTGGATCGGCCTGCAAAAGCCCGACGGTCTTCGTGAGCAGGAGCGGAGGAATTTCAGCAGGCAGCTCCTGACGGATGGGTTCAGAAGCATCGCCCGATTCACCGAGAGCGATCTGAGCTCGGTGTATGTGAGGACTTTGACCATTGCTGGGGAAACGCAGGACGATGTGCAGGCGACTCGCAACATGGGCAAACTGCTGAGAGAAGGATGCGCGGAGAGCAAGGCAGCCATTGTCAGATCTGGTGCTCACGCTTGGGACTTGCAGTTTCCCCAGCTGTTCGCAAAGACCGTTAAAGCATGGATTGACGGGTCGGACTTTCCCGATGGCTTGGAGGAAATATCTTGACCTCACCTGATTCCTTTTATTGGAGCTCTGGAAATAGTACTACATATTGTGTAGTAGTAGTATACAGTATTAATTGTGCATAGTGTAAATATGGAGGTGCACCATTGGCATGAAAGATATGTAGATTGTTCATGAGCCGTGGGCTTTGAAGACTACTAGTTGCAAGCCACAATCAGATGATTGCAAACAATATAAATGATTGTCGTGGCCAAAATTTCGCAATCGACCATAGGATGTGGAAAACAGGGCTTCCCGTTCGCTCAGCCGTACTTAAGCCACATGCCGGTCAGTTAGTACTAAGGTGGGTGACCACTTGGGAATCCTGACTGTTGATTGTTTTTGCTAGTATCTTTTTTTTTGGGTCTCTCTATTGTATTATGGGGTGGCGAAGAAAAAAAGTATGCCATCATACCGGTTTTGTCAAATAGTATTTTGGCCGGATGTGGCCGCTTCTGCGGCCATGAATGGGCGGGCCATTGTGAAAAGTTGCCGAAATCTGCTCCAAAATCTGCCCGAAATCTGTCTGCCTTTCTGCCTTTCTGCCTGACATGGCTAGCTAGGTATTTCATACTAGTACGCCCCAGGTCTAGACCAATAGGAAGGACGGCACATCCAGCCCAATCTTCAGCCTCAGCTTCATTTTCTGAACAACACCAGACCAGATTTCGGCCGCCTCGTCATAAATGTGGATGGAACGAGCGGCTCTGCCCTACCCTTCGTGATTCCTACGAGGACTATCTCACCCGAGTATGAGCGACGAATACGAAGTCCGACCAACTCTGTCAAATTCTGCCGTTAGATCGAATGCTGTGCGTACGCCTGCTCGGGATACCCTACTCGCTTGCTCCCCAGCCGTATCTTCAAAAACCCTCAGACAGTTTTCTCTGTTGATCATTCGAGTCATACTGTACTCTCTTCATGTACCAAACAACCTCCAGAGACGCTGCTGTTACCCTCATTAGTGCCTTCGATATATCTTCCCTGGAATAGCACTCCCACCTTGTATTGCTATTACCATTTTCCTAGCTAACGATGGCATCCGATACTCGTACTCGTACAAGTACTAGCAAACACATTCTCCCAGGCGAGTGGGAGCGCCACAGGGATAGGATTGTCGGTCTGCGCCGGTCGGGGACCATCCTCGAGGGCGACGACGGGATCATGGCGATCATGAAACGGGAGCATGGATTTGTGGCCAGGTAAGTGCACCAGTGACAATTACGTACTAGTGTTTACATCTGCCACGTATATACAACGTACCTGACAATCGGGCATCTGCTCAGTTCTTCGCAGTACGAGCTGCAACTCAACAAGTGGGCCGAGCGAAAGAACCTCCATGCGGAGGAATGGCGCCAGATCATTCAGACAGTCGACCAGTACAACGAAGATGGAATCCATTGCGATGTGTACCGAAACGGCCAACTTATTCCACGATGGACACTGAAGAGGAAACGCAAGGAGTACTGCCAGGGACATGACGAACCCGTCTCCGTCAAGGGGGTCCAGGGTCGAGGTACGTAGGGCTGGTAGTATTTTTGACCAGTGTCGTTCTAACATCTCGGTGGTGGTGTGGTAGTGGCAGCCTCGCCTCTCCCTGAATTCATTGAATTCAGGACATCCCCTTCGGCAACCCGGCCTGGCGGAGTTGCGGGTTTCAACCCCCAGAATAAAGACTCCGACCCGTCGTATGGAATCTCCACGATCGCGCCGTCGTCAATCATCGAACCATGCACCGACACAACAGCAACAGCCCTTTCTGTTACCGACTTTGGCCGCAGCGAACTAGTTGACCTGGACTCGGGAACCTTGGTGGTAGCATCCAGCCCACGACCCCAGGAACACATCGCCCTTGCTGAGGCATCACTGGCAACGACTCACCATACTACCCAGTCGCTTGGATCTCCATTTCCCTGGACAATTTATAGCCCATCGGCGGAAGCGTTTCTTCCCCTTGAGCTCGAATCGCGGGATTCTGTGTACCAGCAATTTCCCCCCTTCGCCGAAGTCGAACCTGCTGTCGAGTTCCTAGGCACTGGTCTACCTTTTGCCAAGCTGTCCGATGTACCAGCAGCTGAATTTTCAATACCGAACAAACATTCCACGTTAGAACGCAGCAGATCTGTCCCGCGAAATGCGATTCCACTCGAGCGAGATGCGTCACCCGGGAAATTTTTCAACGTGGATTTGATCGACACGTGGACTTCACGTATTCCATTCTTGCAGTTCGAAAAGCACCTGCAAGCACAAGGTATGGCCCCAGTCCACGAAAAGAAATTTGTCGGGTTGTATCAGTACTGCCGTGACTCGCACCACCTGCGGCAGCCATTGCCCGCGTTCTGGACGTCGCCTAGTATCTGTATCTGCTTGAGATCACTTTCTGATAACTGAGCAGGAATCTCGTATCTCGATGGGAAGTCTGCAGCGTGCATTCAGCGACCAGCACATAATCGCCAGATGGATCACTTAGCCCTCGAGTATGCTGGAAACGAATCAGGACTCGCTTTTTCGACGCATGCACGATCGGCCTCCGTCCCAAGCGACTATTCAACTCCAAGTGGCGAGCTGACGCACACCGAAATATTCAATTCTGCCCTGTTGTCTCTGCTCCCTCCGGACGCTTCATCATCTGTCTTCAACCACCGGACCACGATGCAAAACCAACCTTTTCAATCTTCTTTCCATAGATCACTGATCTTCTCCATCGCCAACAATTTTGCGGGCCTCGATGGCGTGCCAATGGGGGCAGTGCTCGAATATCTGGCAAAAGATCCTCACATGCACCTTCAATTTATGAAATATCTTCGGGCGGGCCCGAAATATGTCTGTAAGGCCATCGCAGAAAACTTGATTCGGGCTGCCATCGAAAAGTGCGACGCCACTCTGGTCACGGCGCTTTTGAGCACAGGTTTGGTGACAGCTGATGGGATCGTATGTCTAGTCAAGGGTTCACGATGCGCAGCCGTACAGCGCTCGGCGATGCTCCGAAGTATCGAAGTTACAAGGGCTCTTCTTGTTGCCGGCGCCAATGTCAAAAAGGCTTATGGCGCCTGGGGAGGACCCCTCGAGTTGGCTATTCGATCTGGTAAGAAAGCTAGCCCGGTCGATATTGAGTTGGTCAATTTACTTCTTGAATGGGGTGCTGAAGTACGCTCGACCCATCTTCTTTTTGCGGCTCGGGAAAAAGACGACATCTTGTTCAGAAGCCTGATGTCCAAATTCTCCCCGCTCCAGTGCCATGAGTATCTTCATGCCAAAAAGTTCGAGGTGAAGTCGTTCATTGATGTAGCAATTGGATTGCTGGATTGCGAGCTCGCCACCATGGCGGTTACACTGATGCTCCAAGCCCATTTTCAAACAGGTTGCGGCAAATGTCCACAATCGTCCAGGATATTACGAAGATCGATTTCAAATGCCGCCATGAGAGGATTTTCCGACCTCGTTATTCTTCTCCTCGAATACATACCCAAGACAGATCTTCCCCTGGCACCAGCCGTGCGGAGTGGCCAACGGGATTTAATTGAACTTCTCCTGGAACAAGGGGCTGCCGTCGACCCAGCAGCATACGATCTGATCGGCGACATGTCCCCGACGTCTACGCCGCTGGCTGAAGCAATCCGAGGTGGCAACAATGAACTCGTACGTGATTTTGAGAATCGTGGGGCGTTGTCCCGGATCCGCGAACGAGGCCGCTTCGATGCAGCAATCTATGCAGCAGCTGAAGTGAACAATATCGCCTATGCACAGAAGCTTTTGCAAATAGCCCCAGACATATCAGGAGGAGCCTTGAGTCCCGCTCTCGAAATCTCGATTCAAAAAGGACATGAAGACATGGCATTGCTACTGCTTAGGGCAGGTGCTGACGTCAACGTCTTTTCGAATAAGATAGGGAGAGGGCTCTACATGGATAAGGGCGACGCTATACTGCTTATAGCTCTGCGTCAGAGGAACGAAGTCCTGGCCCGAGCAGTTATGGGTTGCGGCATGGAAGTCAATGTCTCCATGCACGGCCGTCCCTTTGACAGCCCGCTGCTGCTGGCAGTTCGTTGGGGGAACCTCGGTATCATTAGAGATTTGCTGTCAATGGGCGCAGTCGTTGATGAGGATGGTGAAATTGATGGTGTCCTTGATCGAAGAGTTAACACCGACGATGATGATGATGATCATCGTATCCATTGTACCTATCAGGATCCGAGGGACTTCAGAGAGACCGCAGTCACCGCCGCTGTTAAGGGGAGCAATAAGCTCTTGGTTGAGCTCCTAGTTAACAAGTACCAGGCAAGTTTGAACTTGTTTTCTGACAGGGAAACATCTCCGCTAGCTGCAGCCATATCAAATAAGGACACCGACATGCTTCGGTACTTATTGGAACTAGGGGCAGACCCAGCATGTCATTCAGCGTTCAGAAAAGCGATCTCAGGTGGTGGGGAGTTGTTCTCGGAGCTCCTATGCGCATTCCGTGCTAAATATCCCATGGGAAAGCCAGGTTTTGGCGGGGTGCCACTAAGCATTGCCATCAGACGCAATGATGAACAAGGCCTCGACGCGCTACTCGAAGCAAAATTCGATGTCAACGCTTTCGCCTTTATGGGTAATTGGATGTTAAATTCTCTTGGGACAGCAATCAGGGAGCATGGCAGACGCAACTTGAGTATCATCAGAAAGCTCATTCGCGCAGGCAGTGATGTCAACGAGATAGTAGCAAGAAATATGCCAGCTGCGCTCTTGTCACTGAGGACAGCACTTCTTGAAGCCATATCAACCAAAAACAAGGCCCTCGTGGAGCTCCTTGTCGAAGCGGGCGCCGATACAAATAGACCTGCTCAGTTGGGTATTAAGCGGACGCCGCTTCAACATGCTTGCGAGGTTGGCAGCCTTGAGATAGCAGAGTTCCTCCTGGACAGAGGAGCGGACGTCAATGAAGAGCCGGCTTTCAGAGGAGGGGCCACTTCACTACAACTCTGTACGATGGCAGGCTATGCTGGAATCGCGGACAAGTTATTGAAAAGTGGCGCTGATGTCCATGCCCCCCGTCCTGAATCGAAGGGCCGGACCGCCTTGGAAGGGGCCGCAGAGCATGGTCGCCTTGACATGCTCAGGATTCTCTGGGATGCGACTGCTGGCCAAGGGTTTGATGCAGAGCAGATTGAGAGTGCGATGAAGCTCGCTGAAGGGAATGGGCATTTGGCGTGTCGCGATTTGATCCAGAAGCTGCGACTCGTTGGCCGGGCGCTCATTATGCCCGAGCCATTCGACTTTTGATCAATTCTCCAGGGGCGCAGGTTCTGCTTTGTCTATCTCCTATTCTATGTGCCCTCCTAGAAGAACTTGTCATGGTGGAGTGGAAAGGGAAAGGTGGAGGTTGGCCTGGGCCACTGTCAGACCACACACTTCCGACCCAACGTGAAGGACGCCCGTGAGCCGGAAAAATTGACGCTAGTCTGTATTACCCACGCTGATCTTCATACCCACGAGGCTCCATTTTCTCTCCAGAGATGCATTGGACGCTGCCACGGTCGTCTGGCTGTGTCTCAGCAAGCTCGAGCCCAGAGATATCCTGTCCGCTATCATGTGAGGGGAAAGGGACTGGACTCCATGGTCTAAAAGCATCGGATTTTCTTGGCTGCTTCCTCTAATACTTTCTTCTTTCTATCTTCCGTTTTGCACTTGTCGTTCCAGACTGAAAGGGACAATGCAAGGCCCAACCTTCCTTGAAGCATCTGAAACCATGAACAACTCGAGCTGCGTGCACCTCACATTTCTGAAGATTTTCTCCAGTTCACTGGTTAGAGGCTCTTTCACTGAATTTTCCCAAGTGCCGGTAGAGTCTTCTGGTATAGGCATGGATGGCATCGCAAGACATTCGCTCCCTAGTGGGACAGCGAGTTGACTATAAGTAAACAATGGGCCTTCTTGTTGCTCTTGATGAGTTTCCAGTTCGATTGGCTCGTTTCGCGGTATCACGATACCTTTGAACAACAGCCCGATCACTCTCCAGGGGCTTTCTAACCGATTTTCAGGGGCGTAACATTGCCTCTAATTTTTGGGTTTGGGAGTCCTCCGAAATAATTCCATCGTATATCAGTTCGCACCACTTTGAAAGACCACTAAATGCCAGGTCTTCTGGTAATCCAGCAACACTCTCCATAAGTTGGAATATTGCTGATGAAAAAAAATGATAATGCTAAGTTGAAGGGGAGAAATATCCCTCAACTTGGGCGCGATAGGGCTGACAAGACGTGTAGGGAGAAGTGTAAATCGGTGGCTGTTTCAACGGTCTTGCTCAGCCTTGCTTCAGCCTAGAGGTACGTTAGCAACACACCTAGGTAATATTTGCGTCGCACAGCACCTATCTCAAACGGTGGTCGAGACCGCCTGCTCGTGTTGAGCCTCGATTGCTTTTCAGAGCACGATGTTCGAGTTGTGTTCGTGGACCACCTCGCCTGAGGTATTTTGCAAACGCAGCACGAACATGCTGTAAGGATTTCCGTGCTCTATCCGGCGATGGCATAGGCCGCAGAGCGATTGGACCAGAAGCCCTCCGCTATAATAAAGGAGAAAATCTAGAGCGCCTTCTTCCGTACCGACCCTCGAAAGGTGAATTCCGCTTATGAAGAGGAATTGGTAATGTTGAGACCGGGGCGGCTGACCACGACCTCGCCAAGAAGCCAATTGCTGGCAAAGCGCCACGAGGATCTGATTAACATGGTTGGCCCGGTTCGATCGACTTGTGCAAGCAAAGCAGACTTGTGCACCACCCTGATGGCGCATGGTGGGGGAGATGAAACTGCTGCTAGTCGGACAGCAGATCTGGTGCTCAGATTGTGGGTGATGGTAAATGTGCGCCAACCCGAGGCCTCGTTGCAGACGCCACAGACGCGAATTCGACAATGAGGAAACAATCAAAACTTGCAAGATTTCGTCTTTCATACCTTTCAGGCGTCAACATGGAGAATCGAGGCAAAGGCGGTCGCCTCTATCCTTCTTTTACGGCAGCCTTCATGTTTGAATATTTGTGGGCTGAAGGTTGAGTGGACAGACTGCCTCGCTGACCATCTGAGGCTCGATCGGCAAGCCAACGTCTTGAGGATCTTCTCGTTCAAATGGGTGCTCCAAACCCACCTGAAAATGTATGATGGGGTTGCCGCAGAAATCGATACGAGGGTCGTTTTCCAACTTTTCGAATGCAAGATTCTGATTTTGATAGCCCACTACCGAGACGCCTACTCAAAGAGACGATATGGAGTCTAAATCTTCTGTTCTCGCAACGGGATTGGGACACCAGGTTCTTGCTGCAGGCGAAGCAGCAAGACTTCCAGCAGGTTGGTCCCTATGACAGGCCTCCAATATTGGACCTCGTCGAGTTTCAGTATTGGTGGCGTAGACTTTCGGAACTGCACAATATGGTGTTCCTGTCCCCTCCCGTCAGCTGGGCCCAGCTTTGGAGAGACCGTCGCAACCCTCAATAATTTTAGACGTTTTGGTTGGCGTTCGTCATCTTGCGGTTAACCTTGATCTCGATAATAATGGGCATGCAACTACTGTAGCCATTGCAAGAGAGCTACTGGGTGGTTAGGGCTGCAACGGCGCTGCGCTGTTTGTCAATCGGGACGTCTTCATCGTGGCTGTTTTATGTTGGATGCTATTTGATGCATGTTGGACACTGATGGCGGTAGTTGGTAGACGGTGAAATGAATTGTCATGCAACATGCGAGATCTGATGAATGTCTATTGTTGATGATATTAGTAGGTATCCAGGAGCGAGAGTGGATTTTACAGGGGGGCCTCGGTGCCAAGGCTTGGTAGGTTGTGGTTTCCGTATCAAGAAATGTCGAGGTCTCCTTATGATGCTGACGATGAACGACGAGGGGAAGGCTCTTGGAGGCTGGTTACTACGGATAGTTCGTTGAAATAAGGACGCTCGATTCGCGAGGAATACTGGGTCACTCGGGGAAGGAATGGAAGGGAAGACACTTCGACGACTCCTCGATACACAATGAATCACGCATGACAATTTGGAGGCCGTTGAGCAGACCTAGCATACTAGCAAATGTTGATTGATTTGAGCCAAATAACTTCTACGTCCATCACTGCGAAAGCACCACATAATTCATCCACACAACATTGACCACCATCATCGTCAGCTAACGACTGAGGCAACCTGAGCTGCTCCCATGTCACATATGCCCACCCACTGCCCTTCCATCGACCACCCGCCCGCGTTGAAATGCCAGTATTCAGTGCGATGCCGTCCATACATTGCAATATGTCCCGGATAAACAAGAAAGACGCATTCCCCAGCCCATAAGAAATCCATCAATGCACCCAGCGAAATATCTTACCGTCACCTCTATCATGGGTGCACCCTTCCCCTCACAAGCTTCATAACATGAACGCTAAGCATCCCATAGCAAAAGCGAACACACTTGAAACAGCATGACCCACTCTATCCGCAGAACCTGTGAACTGGGAGGCACCGCCGGGGGCCACAGGCGTGATGGGCGGTGTAATGGTGCTATTGCTGCCAGTACCATTGGTATACTTGTTACCGGTGTTGATTCCAGCTTCGGCGTTGGCGGCAGCATTGGCTGCTGCGTTTGCATTAGCGTTTGCTGCAGCACCGGAACTGCCGCTGCTGGCGCCAGCAGCAGAGTTTGCACTTGAAGCGGAATTTGCACTGGCAGCATCGTTGCCAGAGGAAGCCTCAGCGTTGGCATTGGCATTTGCGTTGGCGTTTGCACCTCCAGAGCCAGTACCCGAGCTACCGGATGAGCCACTGCTGCCCAAGCTTTCGCTGGATGAGCCAGCACCAGCACCGGATCCGGCCGCAGCTTCCGCATTAGCTTCGGCACTTGCTGCTGCTTGTGCTTGAGCACCGGCACCGGCGGTTGGCCCGATCACTGGGGTCTGGGTGGCATACGGGCCGGTTGAGCATGGTGTGGTAATAGTCATTGTGGTCGCTCCACCATTGTGGCAAACATCGCAAGATACAACGGTAGTAGTAAAGCCTTCGGGAATGGAGGTAGGGTTCGTGGTGGCTTCGCAGGGACAAGCCTCCGTGATGGTGTAGGTGGCTTGTCCGATGGACTGACCATCGCTGCAAATCTGGTGGTAGACGGTGAGGTACTCGTGGATTTCCTCTACGTCCCCATTTGGAAGGGTAGTGGTGTAGCTAAGAATCTCCGTACCCTGTGGGCCGGTGGGAGGAGGTGTGATCACAGGACCACCTCCGTTGCAGTTGGGACCCGGGCAGAAAGTGATGGTGCTTGACAAGGTGGTGGTTGTGGTCAAGGCAGTCGGGCAGACGGAATAGTATACCGTAGTGGCAGCAGTGTCCGCCGGATCATTGATAACTGTACTTGTCTGCGCGTTGGCCGCAGCGATGAGCAGTGCCGCCAAGGTCAAGTTGGTGCGCGTCGGTCGCTTCATGATTCCAGGTCTGGGTAACGGCCAGGGTGTTATCTTGCTGTCTGTAGGTTCTGCGTATCGTGGTCGAGCGAAGAGAAAATGAAAACTAATAATTCAAAGGAGTGACTGTGAGGGCAACAAAAGAGACACTTCCAAAAGAGTGTGACGAGTCTCGAAAAGAAAGCGAGCCTATCGAGGAGAAAAAGAAAGTCCAAGGATGCTTTGTACCGTTGAGCATGATATTTACCTTGGGCACAATCACCGTGCGGCGAGGGCTGCGCGATCCACATAACTATGTCTCTGGAATGCAAAACAACCAGGTCAACAACAAATCATCTCATTCGCAGAGAAGAGGAGAATGTAACGCACGATCCATGACATTTCTCGAGAATTAGCCTTGGAAATTACCAAATTCTTCAGCTTTGCACATGGTTTGCAAATCTGGTTGCCATGAGCAGCAGGAACAGCTGCAGAGAGGGCTGGAACCATTCAAGGCTCGCCAAAGGTCCAGCCCGAGGCACTCTAGACTGTGCGGCCTGGATTCGATCAATCGCTTGAATGGCCGCTTTGCTAGGATAGACTGAAATTGAAGGAGGTGGGCAACGGGGAAAGATGTTTCCTATAAATCGACATTTCAAGCTCATCGCCCTCAGCGAAGAGGACCCAACGAGCAGGAAACTTCCTACAAGGAATTATTCTCCAGAGCCACTGAGCTCACGAAGAGCTCATGGCAACACATCGCTGTAGAAAACACGAAACGACGGTCGTGGCTGGCTCTGTTGCTTTTTTTGATCTGAAGAAGGAAAAGAGAAAAACATCCAAAGACGAAGCTGGAAGTGAAGAATTTGTACCGTGGTCTGTGCCAAGAACAAGTCACGTGCCCACAGCCTTGCCTGCGTGGTCTTGGTGCTAACCCTGCCAGTGAATGCAAGGCAATACGAGGCTATTGGATCATTCAAAGTCGTCTCCTATTAAGCTCCTGCTTTTACACCGACTTCGCCTTCAATGGTACTTCGAACACTATCGCACCATTCCGGCCCTCACGAATTTTCTTCCACCGCCCCAACCTCATCTCCTTGCCAGTTCCAGCCACGATGCACAGACCCTGACACTCGCCCTCTTTCTTGCCTCCAAATTCGTTTGCGATGAGTCTTCTTCGCTCAAACACTGCCAAAGAATTGACAAAGCCTCGCACTGGGCCAGACAGTGGATTGGCTGATACAGTTGTCCCATTCTCTGCTGTATCAGTGTCTCCCTTCAAGTGTCCATTCCTCCCCTGTGATTCCCCATTGACAAGCCCATTTGGCTTGTCCGTACCCTCTTCAACTTTTCCCACAGGTCCAAGAGGCAAAAGTGACCTTTTGTCATCGCTCAGTTTCCATGCACGAATCCAGCCGTCCCAACTCCCACTCAAAACCACATCAGTGCCAGGCAAGGCGGCTAAAGCAGTGATAGCTCGGGGTATTGGCCTTCGTCTATCATCCCTCTTCAGCGCCTCGATGACCTTGGGGTCCACTTCCGACGTCACCGCTTCAAGCGGAGGCGGCTCTTCAACACCATGTGCGGTCTGGAGGGTGAAAACAGCCTTCTTTTTATGAATACTCCAGAGACTGATGGAGCCCGAGTCAGTTCCGGTGACAAAGTTCTGTGGCGGCAATGCAGCCACGCAATCCAGACTGCCGGTCTGGTATTCATCGTTTTTAGAACTGTCACCCAGAAACTTAGTGAGCGATTCATCCACAAACTTCCACCATAGGGCCTTTCGATCCCGAGCACCGACTGTGACGCATTGATCCACGGACACGGCCGAGACATCAACAATATGGTCTTGATGACCGAAGAGTGTCTCGACGTATGCGAGGCTATCCTCACCAGCCAAGCTGTAGGTTTTCAAAGACCGGTCCATGCTTGCGCTGAACAGTTGTTGACCAAAGCCAGTTCGATTAGCCGAGTTGGGTGCGAATGCAAGTCCCGTAACTCCATCTCTGTGGGTCGTGAAAGTCTTCAACGGCCGGAGGTCATCTGCTGACCAAATTATGAGCTTCTTGTCCGCTCCTCCTGTGGCCACGAATTTTCCGTCGGGGGAGGCTGCCACAGAGTAGATACGTCCGGTATGGCCATGCTGCTGGGATTCAAGTGCCCTGATTTTGATGCCTCGAACATATGCCAGTTGCTTCGGCCGTCGTCTTCGTGGAACCGTTGATTTTTGACCATCTGAGGAAGTGCTTGGTGGTTGAAGTTCCCATTTGATTAATGTCTTGTCCTTGCTCACAGTGTACGCGTAAGGTTGACAAACTGCGACGCCAGTTGTTGATTCGGTGTCCGCGCGAAATGCCATGTGAGTGGCATTCACAAAGTCCAAGTTCTCAGCAATCAGTCGATACTGTCTGCCCTTTGCCTCGTTTACATCCTCTTTCAGCCGTTGTGCAATTAAGTCCCTGTCGAGATCTTCGGCGTCAAACCCAGTCTCGTCTATTTCCTGCCTGATATTATCCAAGTATCGTTGTGCAAGTCTGACTCGGCGCTCGGCCGCAGTCTCGCCCTCTTCAGATGTAGCTTCTGACTCGTCCGCATCGCTCTCTGCTTGGATCTCGTCTTCAGATTCGCTTCCAGATATTGACTCGTCTCGCTGTCGATCTCGATTTCTTGGTTGTCTCCCTTTTCGACGGGACTGATTGTCTGGCTGCTCTCGTGCTTTGTCGCCGTCTGCAACCTCCCGCCTTTTCCTCGCCTTGCCTGCAACAGGATTTTCTCGTTTTCGCTTTTTCTGTGACGCCGGAAGCGTGAAGAAGGAAGACATTTGGACGTCTTCGCAACCGAGTGCCACCAGAGAAAGCTGAATGTTTGAATTGCAGCGCCGACAATATTTTTCTCCAAAAGTTTTTTTGAGATGCGGGCAAATCTGCAGTTCCTAGCGCAGCCTCGTCGGAAAATTCCATTCGCCGCACCTTCCTTGGAGAGCAGTGCCAGCCCAGCCTTGTGTCCTGAAGGCAGAGCTTCGCGTGCGTGTCGAGCAATGGGACTTGTTTCACCCAGTTTCAATCATCGATCAACTCAACGACAACAGTCTGGGTAGTCCTGAGCACTCTCTCATAGCGGACAAATCTTACACACTTGGGAGTGTTGATTCGAGATCCTCTGCTGTTACATAACGCAATCTCCCGCATCTCAATCCGTAACTGAAAATGCAAGTCTCATTCAATCTGCACGGCAATCCAGCCAAATATCTAACAACACTTCTCCAGGGAGGTCCTCATCGGTCTCACCGGCCGAGACTTCACCATCATCGCCGCGTCCAAAGCTGCCATGCGCGGCGCCACAATTCTCAAGACTACTGACGACAAAACCCGACAACTCAACAAACACACCCTTCTGGCCTTCTCTGGCGAAGCAGGCGACACTGTACAATTCGCAGAATTCATACAAGCAAATGTTGCTCTCTACTCAATGCGCAGTGAGACGGATTTGGGCCCTTCCGCAGTGGCCAGCTTTGTGAGAGGAGAACTGGCGCGGAGTCTCAGGAGTCGGAAACCATATACGGTGAACTTGCTACTTGGGGGTGTTGATCCGATTACGAGGCAGCCGAGTCTTTATTGGTTGGATTATCTTGCGAGCAGTGTGAAGGTGCCGTATGCGTGTCATGGATATGCCCAGTGAGTTAATTCTCCAGGAATTCTTGTCCTCACGTAAGTGCAAGGGCAACCTGATTGACTGACGATGATGGTCATTAGGTATTACTGTCTCTCCATTCTCGACAAACACCATCATCCAGACATTTCCTTCGAACAAGGCATGAAGATCCTGCGCATGTGTACGGACGAACTACAGCGACGCCTACCGATTGACTTCAAGGGGATGACAGTGAAAGTGGTGAAGAAAGACGGCATCGTGGATATGGAGTATGACACTAGTAAACAGGTCTTGGCTGCTTAGAAGTGCAAAACGGGAAAATGAAAGGGACATTCACTTGATCATACCTTATGCATAGCGTCGGCGTAGAAAGAGTCTAATCTCTGGCCGGATCGAATTTAGAAAATGGGCTTCAATTTTTTATTTGGACCTTTTGGCAACACGATCTACAATAGAAATGTCTTGCGTCTCGGCAGATACACACGTCTCTGGTTCGCATGGTTCTGTCCCCTATTTTCCGTACCTGTGAGGGTGGGAGGTGGTCGCCCGGAATTTCTATCCTCCCACAAAAGCCCATTTTCCTTGCAAACGCCATGCTAGAAATTGTTCAGACAAGTAATGCTATCCATTGGGACTCCAGTCATTAGTAAGGGTGGCCTATCATGACCTCTGCGAGCTCTACTCGCCGACCATATCCTGGTCTATTGTAAGATTGGTGATAGCCACTCCGTCGTCTTGAACTGACGTTCTGGGGGTTGTGGCTTCTCTGGTGGTGTTGGTGCTGTCCCCTGGCAGAGCTGTTTCGTCTCTGGCTTCCCTCAGCATGGGGTTGGTGATTATGATCGTTCCTTCGAGCCCGCTGACTTTGCAAATGCAGTCTCCGTCGAGCCGATGGCTGGGGCGGACGTACATCTGAATCTTCCGACTCGGAGGGATCCTGAGTGTTTTCAGTTTCCGAGTGCTCTGATATATCTTCACCTTCATCTACCTCATCTTCTTCATCTTGATCCTCGGTTTCCTTGTCTTCTTCTTCCTCATCGTCGTCATCGTCACTCACAATAAACCGCGCCGCTCTTGACCTTCGCCGAGGCGGTGGTGGGAGGGCATGCTCGTAATCAGAGGCCTCTGTTATTTCATCGTAGTTGGTCTCCGCGTCGGATGCTTCCCAGGCGCGATTTCTCAAACCATGATCGTAGCCGACGTATCTATCAACGGGCTCGGCACTGTCCGCGGACACTTGGCTTCGAGCTTCCGACTCATTATCGTAGCCTTCGCTCTGTGCCCAATGCCGGTTGTACGCGGTCATTGTGGACTCACTATTGGTGTCGTCATCGTCCTCGTCTGCCTCACTATCGATGAAGCCATCCATGTCATCGTCCTCGCCATATTCTTCATCCTCATCTGTCGCGTCTGTTATAGGAGACATTCCGCTATTGTAATAGTCGAACACATCTTCGTGCATGGGCCCGTCGAACTCGTGATCAATATCATCCTCCGCATCGAACTCGGACGAGCTGGCCACGTGCATGCTTTCCGAGTCGTAATCGGAGTCGAGGCCACTACCTGATTCATAAATTTCATGAAAACCACAGCGCAGGCATTCCCCCTCTTCAAGTTCCCAGTGACATCGAGGGCAACGCACGACATTGTCCTCCGGATCTGGAATTCCTAGACCCCAGCGCATCCGAGGACGTGGTTCTCCCAGGAAAACGCCTTTGAAGAGACCGGGTCCAGCGCGATCTGCTGCCAGCTGAGCCGCCTCTTCCTCTTTGGCCTGTTGGTGTTCTTGTACAGTCTCATCTTCGGGCAGTAGCTCGGCTCGACCAATGAACATGTGGACCAAATCTCGGAGGACGTAGTTGGGAGATGGCTGTGCGCTGACTTTTGCTCTGCAGTCTGGACAATTTTTCTTGGTTCTCCTCCCGTGGGCTCCAACAAACCAGCTGGCAAGACACGTGTAGCAGTATGTGTGACCACACGAGAGGATGAACGGCTCGTACAAGGATCTCATGCAGATCTTGCAGACGGAGAGGTTACGCATATCCTCGATATGTCGGAGAAATGTAGAAAGACGGGTTACGTCGGTGTCTGCCATATCGTTGGAGGTCACACGGTTGTTGTGAGAAGGGTTAAAGTTGGACTTTTGAGCATCGGCGCTCAACAGGTTTGGTGAAGGTGGGGAAACATGGGTCAGCCGTGACGCTACAATTTGGCGACAAATTGGAAAGGCAGCGAGGTGAGCTCGCGCGCAAAGGTAGTCCAAGGGCGAAGTAATCTCGCGAGAAAAGGTCGACAGCGCGTCCTCCAAAACATCCCCAGGGTAAGAGTTGAGTGACTGATCGGCCTGGCAAGTGGCTGCGTCTGCAGCCTCCCAGAGCCTGATAGAAGATCTTGGCAGGTAGTGGTAAGATATGGAAGGTTTGCCGAAGACTTTCCCGATATCTCGAATTTCTATGTTGTCGCCTGGAAATCGGTGTATCTGTCCTGCTGTCCTCGTCTCTGCGGTCATGTCGAAGCCAGTCTCATTCGGCTTTGGCAAAGCAAAGCCAGCCGTGTCGTCTCCGGCATCTGGAACAATTTCCCGCAAGCCCCCCGCGCTGTCAAAAGGCAGGCCCTCGCGAACCGCTCTCCGCCATGATTCAGACAACGAAGATGAAGAAGAGCCAAGACACGAGTCAGTCTCTGGCTTCTCGTCAAGTGGTGCCATTCTAAGTCAACCCCTACAGGATTCAAAAGAGAAAGTGATAGCGAATGCCGGTAATGTCGACTGGCGCAGACATGGACGAAAGAATTTACTCCCTGCGGAGGCTCAAGCACAACGGGAGAGCGGTGGTGGCGTTGTGGTGGTCGAACGAGATGAGGTCAGCAAAGCTAGTGGGCTGCAGTTCGCGGACAAGAGCGAGCAAGGCAGGAGCCAGCAGACAAATGGCGAACAACAGTCACAGCAGAACCATACCGGTGAACAACTTAAGCAGCTGACAGCAGATGAAGAAGCTTTACAGGCTCTTTTGGACAATGGACCAGGCAAACCAAGATCGAATGCCGTCATAACACTGCAGGGGAACAGACAGCTTTCGCCCCAGGATGAGACACAAGATTTCAGGGACGATGTCGCTTCGAGGCCGGACTCGAGCACTCTAGAAGAGTACGCCGCCATGCCGGTGGAGGAGTTTGGGATGGCTATGCTGAGAGGCATGGGTCAAAAACGTCGCGCCAACGGAGAGATTATTGAGCTAACTCCGAATGCTGAAGAAAACCCGCAAAAGTCCCGCAGGCATGAAGGGTTTCTAGGAATTGGAGCAAAAGCCGCACCTGGGTCGGACATCGAGTTAGGCGCATGGGGAAAGGCTGATATGCGGAAGAATACCAGGGGACAGGGATTCTTTACGCCATTGATGCGCGAGAACAAAGCCACAGGGGAACGTATCTCGGAGGAGGAGTTCCAGAAAAGGTTGAAAGAGTCCCGAGGCACCCAGCAGGAGGAAGATTGGAGGCAGCGCAGAGACCGCAATCTGGAGATCAGTGGACGAGATCGGCATCGAGAGAAAGACCCGCATAGAAACGGGGACGATGACTCCCGCGAGCAGATTAATCCATTCTCTCGCTCCAGCTCGTCAAGACGGGATCGAGATGGTCATGAAGATTCTCGATCCAAGAGGGACCGAGATGACAGAGATCATGACAGCTCTCGATCAAGACATGATGAAGGAAGGTCACGGGATCGGAGAAAAGATGAGGATGATGATGATGACTACGATAGCCGTCATCGAGCCAAGCATCGAGACCGCCATCGCGATGAAGATAGGTACGATTCCAGTTCGTCCCACCGAAGTTACAGGGACCGGGATAGGGATAAAGACAGAGACCGAGACCGTGAGAGAGATAGATACAGGGAAAGAGAGAGCGATCGCCGCCACTGGGACAGGTGAATTTGACTCATGTCTCGGAACGATATCATATGCCCAAGAATGAAATATGTGAAGAGCGATCGAGTCTTCATGGTCGGAAGCTCTGTGCGCCCAGGAAATATGAACGCCCAGCGTGACCATTTTTCCCACGGAAAATCACAACAAGAACAGCACCGCCACCGCCATCGACTCATACCATGACAATATCTCTCTCCATTTCTGTGTCCTTTTCCTTCCGCCCATTAGTGAGTAGGGAGCCGTTCAGTCCACCCGCCGCCGAGACGCCGGCGATCTCGTCCATCTCCCGCAACGTGTATTCGATCAAGTAGCTCTCATCGACCAACTCTTCCATCCTCTTGTAATGCCTTTCCGTGTAGACTTCAAGCGCCCTCAAAAGCTCCTTCATACCGTCTGCGGCAGCCCTCCCTCTTGTTCGGCTTCCTCCTCTCATCATCTCCTTCCCGCCTCCGACAGCGCCAAGGAGCTTCTTTTCCCCGGCCATTTCGACGAACACGTCCTTTGGGTACGACCGCAGCAAGCAGTTCAGGACTCTCTGGGCCACGGGGGCCGTCCGTGCGTTGGTGTTCCAATCCCGCACGTTCTCCAGTAACTGCCAGAGCTGCGTCCGGTCCAGGGATGCGAGGATGTCGTCCACCGCTTTCACACCCATTATGCTGCTGCTGCTGGCGTCATCATCCTCGTCCCCATCCTTCCGCGATTCGGATGAGTTGACAACATCCTCAAACACACGCAGTAGTCGACCGGGGTGGCCCAACGCCAAAGAAAGCGTGATGGCTTCACGGTAGTTCTTGCTGAATATGTGGTTCTGGAGTAATTGGTCTTGCTCGATCCGCTGAGTTGCGCGTTGAGATGCCAATAAAGTGGTCTGGAGAGTGGTATCCCGCCAGAAGGTCAATGTTGCATCGGCGGCGCCAGATATCAGTGAGTAAGGATAGGGTTGAGGGTTGGACCGACTACTCTTTCTGGTCGAGGAGGCCGAGGGAGATGTTGTCCGCTGGTACGAGTTCGGAGCGACAAGTGCCCACACACGATCGGTGTGGTTGTCGAGTGTGGCTAGGAGATGATCGGAGTCGGCGGCAGAGTAAGGGGACCAGAGCTTGACGAGGGTGTCAGAGGATGCGGATGCTATTAGTGGTTGATTGTTGGACTGGGTTTGAGAAGGGCGTGCATCTTCTACAGACTCGTCATCTTTGGCTTTGGACTCAGGTGGTGGAATCCAAACAACTTTCAATACGGAATTGCTGTGCCCTTCAAACGTTTGAAGACAGGTATAGGTCGAAAGCGACCACACTTTAATTGTTCGGTCTCCGGAACCACTCACAAGCAATCCGCGAGAGCCGCTTGATCCGCCATCTGGGAGTGAAAGAGGAGGTGTCCCTGCCGGAGAGAAGCGAACTGACCAAACTCCTCGTTTGTGACCGCGCAGAATAGCCGTCACGGCTCCGTCTTCCAAGGACCATACCTTGACTGTGCGATCCTGAGATGCTGAAGCGAATAGTGGTGAGATGGGCGATGTATCCATTGCATTGATATCCTTTTCGTGGGCAACTCGCGTGAACAGGGCTTTTGTGCCTGTTTGTGGTTCTGTTGCTGACTGATCGTATTTGAGTTTCGCTGTGTCCCACCGTTTGATTGTCTTGTCTTGTGAGCCTGTCAATAGGAACGCTGGCGGGTGCGTTGCTGGATTTCTCAACGCCGGACCATCTGTTGGTGGACTTCTCGGTAAGGCGATGGCCCCTAAGGACTCTGCATGTCCAGCGAAAACAGCAAAGCACTCGTACGATGATGAGGCAGGGTCCAATCTCCACAATCTTGCAGTATTGTCTTTTGCACCGGTCGCTAACCAGTAGCCTGACCAATCGACATCTAAGCAAATAATAATGTCTTCATGGCCTTCGAGCAACGCAACGTCATTTCCAAAAGAGTTGACGGCTTTGGCGGGGTTGGAATTTATTTGTTTACCATCGTCTTGAATAGAAATCAACCTGAGACTCTCCGCATTGGTAGCAAGTGCTAGCAAGGATCTGTCGGGGCCGACGCAGGCCATGTCAATAACCTCGTCATAGTTTCCAGCAATTGTCCGAGTCACTGGCAACTTTCCTAGTGACTCTGACGTTTGCAGATTGTGCAGAGCAGAAATACTCTGCAACTTCATTGTTTGATCTTGATGGATTGAGAGAACTGCATCGTCCTCAACCACCGGGATGATGGCTGTGATAGCATCATTCTCAAGCCCCGGTTTCTGCTTGGTCGTAACTTCACGGCCTGTTGCGAGATTCCAGATTCGGACTGCGCCGTGTTCCCCCCCAGCGTAGCAAAACCGGCCGTCCAGGAGAAAACCTGCAGTTTCTAGCACTTCGAGAGCTGGAATAACCCTTTGCTGTTTCCATGTTTGGCCATCCCATAAAATTAATGTCCGATCTCGGCTTGCTGATAGGAGGAGTTGTTGTTCTTCGGAGTATTCCAGGCTTCGTACGACACTGACATGTGAGTCAAGGGTAGCGCTGGATGTACGAGTAGCTAGATTCCACACGCGAATTTTTCCATCTTCACCCCCAGATGCAAGGTAAATGGATCGACCCGGAGATGGTTCGTCGACATCCATTTGGTCTTCCCCGCGACTCTTTCGCTTACGGCTCGTCTTGGGATTTGATGGACTCGTTGACTGTGATTGGAAGAAGTGGAGCGCAGAAACGACCCCGCCATGGCCGTGAAATGTATGTGAAACATAACCTCCTCTGAGATCCCATACCTTCACAGTTCCCTCCGCGCCTCCCGTCGCCAGGAGTGATCCGGTGGCATCAATGGCCGATGACACAACTGGGGTGGTATGTGGTTTCAGTGTTCGCGTAAGTTCTGCGACTATTGTGTCGGATCCTTCCAGAGGTTTGAGCAAAAATATCCGAAGCGAGAGCGACCGCGAAGCGATCACCAAATGGTTTGAATCAGGAGCCAGGCACAGACTCGTAACCGGTTCCCCGTCCCCTTCTATACGACAAAGTACCCTGCTCGTCTGTACTTTGACAATCAAAACGTCCTCGTCAACACAGGTTGCGATGAAAGAACCGTTTGCACTGTGCGAAACATCGCCGCCGGTGAAGATGGGCTCAATGGTTTTGGCAGCCTCAAAAGTGGTTTTATGGTGGATTTTTGTGGCCATTCTTGCTGAGTATTTGCATCCTTGGAATCACACTATGGGTCGAGGGGTCTCAAGGTACATTCATTGTGGTGTCGGGCGACATATGAGCATGGGGAAACATCAAGGCTGACTATGTTAAGATCCTTTGAAATTTCAAAGGAAAAAGTTCAAGAGATCAAACTTCAACCAATTGCGTGTGGCGAACATTTAAGGTTTACGCTAGTGCTTGGCGCCACAGCCTCGTCTGTCTGCTCTCAGCCTCGTCCTGAATGCGGTCTCCCGGCACTCGGTAAGGAAACAATTTTTCAGACAGTCAGAATATTTTCCCTGCTGGAACGTCAAACACGAAACACAACACGCTTTATATATAAAAATGGCCTAAGACGGAAGCGGTCCTGATTTGCAGGGGATGTATTGGAATGGTACGAAGAGCAAAGGGGAAAGAATAATGGTAAGCCAAAATCTCTTATCGGCCGAAGAGGTCGAAAGCTTCTTTTAACCATATGAGCCTTCGCAGGCGTCTGGCTTCTGTCCCCAAAACTTTTTGTAATAATGAGGTGGCTCCGTTGCAGCTTGCATAAAGGAGTATTCTCGTCTGCTCCGCCTCAGACAAGATGGGTGGTTGAAAGGGGAATCTGCAGGCTTTCGTCTTGTTGCACAATCTGTCCCAACGAGGCAGGATGGACAGTAGCGTGTGTGTACAGCTCTCGGTCCTAGCGAGGCGAACCCGGTTCAACAGCGAAGTGGAAGAGCTGACACAAACAGAGTTACTTTCTTTTCTTCATCTTCATCCCAGCAATCCAGTCCAGAACATAGACGCTTTGTCCTACCGAACTTCGGCCTTTATTGCTGGGGTCCAGCGAAACCGAGCCCGAATGTGACCTCATCTGTGGTAACTGGATCATGGTCCGGTACTGGGGGCGACTTGAAAAGTCATAAAGTAACACATCAAGACAACCTGGACGCGGAGAGACACATCACTGAGGCGCCCGACTGCACCGAGACGGCGATGATGGATAGTCCGCGTACAGTGTACCCGACCACGATTCTTTACACTCATAAAAAAGCGGTAAGGGCGACTGAACTCTCTGAGTTGATCGACCCTCCCTAAGGAAAGGTCATCACAGGAAAATTTGCGTTGAAGTGGACATCACAGCGCTCTGGGTCGACGTCGTTGTCACGGCGGGTAACGATGTTGTCCGTGGAAAAGGCGGGGTTGATGGAACGGTCCACCGTGTTGCCGGCCCTAGATTGCTGCAGGAATGTGCTACTCTAGGTGGATATCAAACAGGTTCCGCTAAAATCACTGATGCATACAACCTTCCATGCCAAGCGTGAGATGGAGGCAGACGGCAAGATTTCTAAGTACAAGACTCTCCTCGTCGCCCATGACTTTCGGCAAGAGGTGGGAGTGGACTACGGCGGGACCTTCGGTGGTGTCTTTAGGGCCTTCTCGCTCCGCATCCTATTTCCTTTGGCTGCCTTCTGTGAGTGTTACGTTCATGAGATGGATACTCTCATGCCTTCCTCAATAGCAGATTGGTGAGATGGGGTTCAAAGCCACATTGACAGGATCTATGTCCGGGAAGAACTGAGGACCGGGACCAAAGATTGTTATGTTCCCTTGAACGAGAGAGAAGAGCTCGTTGATGTTTTCTCTGGGTCAACGGTAGGATCCTAACGCCTCCGGCTTTAATGATTATCATAATTGACTTCCTCTTCTAGGTCATCAGGAGTGGGGAGGGGCGGAGAATCCAGACCCAGAAGATGGACTATGCCTACCGAAAGACACAAAGACCTCTGTCTTGGTCGCAGCTTTCCCCGGGGGACAATTTCCACTTGTTTGAACGAACCATGGGGCTTGACATGCATCAATGAATTTCTTCATGGTTTTCCACCAGGCTCCGAAACGTGCGGTTAAACAATTGCGCTTCGACGGGTCTGGGGGATTTGGATGGGCAATACTGTCGGGCTGAGGTCGACCTAGAAAAGGGTTGTGCGGCTTGCGGTTTGGTGAAGGGACACAAGTCAATGGAGCTGTGCCAGGTTGGATCTTGGTGGCAAAATCAGACCACGCGGATCTCCCGGTCAAGAAGAAGGGGCGCAAGGAAAGCAAGATGTATCAACTACGGGCCGGTAAGTGACAGACGAGGAGCATGAGGATGGTGCTTGCAGGTCCGGCAGTGAGATATTGTTGTCCCACGAAAGTCTCGCCGACCTGCATTCCTCGAGAAAGCTGATCGTGGACGAAATCTGGGCGTCACAAGGAAATATACTTCAATCGAAGACATGAATGATACACTTGGCCAACCGGAAATGGGCCTCATACGGGTTCGCGCTTGAATGCACGAAACCGCGGGTTTCACGCACTCGTCCTCGATTCAAGTCTCTCCTCTGACGGCAAGCAGCGACAAGCAACGACAAGCGGCATATCTTCCTATTATCGTTTACGCCAGTGTACAGACACGCCATTTGTTTGGGCACGAGGTGTTGTTATGGCAATGACAACACCAGCGACCAGTGAGCCATCGGCCTACAAAATGAATAGACTCGGTGAGCATACACCTCGCCAAGCTTTTTTCCAGTCTTGTCTTGCTCAGTGCCCCTGTGGATGAGCCCTCGCTTGGCCCGTCAGCGTGCAATGAAACCACCGTCGACCTGTAAGAAACTGCCCGTCATCCAACTCGCGGCATCACTGGCCAGCACGAGGACAGCCTTTGCAACATCTTCTGGGGTTCCGAGGTGAGGCCAGGGGCTTTGTTGGTGGAGCATTTCATTCGTCTCCTTCTTCTCCAGGAAGGGCCTGACCATTGCTGTGGCCAGGAAGCCTGGGCAAACCGCATTGACGTGAATTTTGTGGGGAGCATAGTCGACTGCCACCTGACGTGTGAGGTTGACAACTGCTCCTTTACTTGCACAGTACGAGGCTTTTTCGAAGATAGGTCAGTGCTTTCTCGTCCAGAGGCATCGTGGACTGGCGACACAGGTAGCGGGCGTACTTACGTTCCAAGGCAAGACCGACTTGGCCTCCGATTGAGGCGATGTTGATAACCCATCCACGTTCTCCCGACTGTAGGGGTTCTTGCTCCATCATCTGAGTGATGGCGAACTTCATGCCGAGATACACGCCTCTGGCGTTCACGGCCTGGCCACAAAATCAGTCAAAATCACGCAGCTCCCAGAAGGGTAATCGTCTCTCCCCTACCATTGTCTTGTCGTAACTGCTGACGGGTTCATCGACGATATTGGCCAGCCCCGTGAAGATACCGGCATTGTTTACCATACTGGCCGAGTCCGTCAGTCACGGATTATCCAGCAAGGAGGAGCCAAACGATGTGAGAACAAACATACATATCAAGTCTGCCGTAGGTCTTAACCGCCAACTCGACGAGACGTTTGACATCATCTTCCGAGCTGGCATCTGCCCGTTGGAAAATGGCCTTGCCTTGCCCGTGGGTTTTGATGATTAGGTCATGGGTCGGAGTCAGGTCTTTCTCGTAGCCGCCGGCTCGAATCTCAGATGTCAAGTCACTGCAGACGATAGATGCCCCTTCTGAGGCCAGCGCCAGCGCTATGGCCCTCCCATTGCCCGACGAAGAGCCTGTGACGATGGCGACGCGTCCGGTAATGCTACATACTGAATCAGCCATTCTTCCGCCACATACGACGTCAATTTTACCCACCTCAGGATGTTGGACATGTTGCAAGTTGGGAGGGAGAACTGTTAGGTGTGTCAACAAATGAGTCTCAACCGCTAGGCCTGGATCTGCCGGTATTTGTTTTTCGCATGCCATCTCTTCAATTGCTATAGTCATGTGCATGGATCCATTCGACCGTAGAGAAGCTCCTCAAATAGCATCTGTTTGACACGTGTCGAGAGCGGTACCGCTACACAGCAGACTTTTCCAATTCGTTACGATAAGGTTCGCATCTGTGCAGGTGCAAACAGACAAGAAGATGGCTCCGAGACTTTGTCTTGCAGTGACAAGAGGGGTTCCTCCCACTCCTGCAGGTGGAGGCAGCAGAGGGGTCGCCTGAGATGTGGAGATATCCAATGGGATGCGCTGCGGTCCCGCACCATGCATGCCGTCGGCCGGAAGTGTACTCTCTACATGTCCCTTCCAGCCAGATGTGTCTGGGGTATCCGTACCTCCCCGCTACCAAGCAGACCAATACGCCAAGGATCCGTTCCCTCCTCGCTTGGAGAGATGTGGTGGTGCTAATTGTGTTGAGCGGTCGCGGGCCTCGCCGGGTGTGGCCCTGCTGCACACGACGTCTTTCAGCCTCGTTGACTTGGTTTCTTTGGCGCTGGCTTATACATCTGCCCATGGCTTGTGGAAGTGTTGACCAAGGTTGCTGGCGGCACCGCAGGAAACAGGATGAGTGCTTACCGAGAGATGGAGCGTGACAATGACGGCCACTGACGAAAGAAGAACCGCGGGGTGTCCAGCAGAGGTCCCAAACCTCAATGCCTTATTTATGCGCTCGGATCCCGACGCTCTGTGTCTTTCAACCTAGAAGGAAGTCAGTTTACAAAACCATATATAACTATTCCCCTTGCAATCATGCCGCGCGAAGACATCTCCTTTCAGACAGCCGACAATGTCACCTTGAGAGGGTGGTTTTACAAGCTTTCCGGGGACAATAGCGTTCTACCGTGCCTAGTTATGGCTCATGGGTTTTCTTCCTTGAAAGAAATGGATCTCAACACCTTTGCCGAGTATTTTACATCCCACCTCCCACTGTCCTGTTTTGTCTACGACAACCGGGGATTCGGCGACAGCGATACAAAGGAGGGACAACCCCGTCATGAGATCATCCGTACCCAGCAGACGAGTGACTACTCAGATGCAATCACCTATGCGCAGTCGAGGTCGGATGTCAACCCTGACAAGATTGGTGTCTGGGGCAGTTCCTACAGCGGGGGACATGTGCTTTGGGCTGGTGCAGTTGATCGCAGGGTGAAGGTCGTTCTCAGCCAAGTGCCCTGCGTTGATGGCTGGTCCAACTTTCATCGACTCATCCGCCCGGATTTTGTCGCGGGCTTGAATAGGCTTTTCCAAGAAGGTGCGCAATCATCTGTTGCCATCTCTCATATTTGTCCTCATTCGAGGTGCGCAGATCGGCTGGCCAGAGCTGCTGGCAAACCACCCGGCTCATTGCCCGTTGTGGACGAAGACCCTCATAAACCATCTGCCTTGCCTACGCCCGACAGCTATCAATTCTTCACGGGCTGGGGCAAGAATAGCAACTGGAAAAACAACGTGACCGTGAAAACGTACGTCCCACAGGTGCCCATTGATGCTGCACGATAATATTGACAGGCGTTTCAAGGATCGAGGCATTTCGCGAGTATCATCCGTCTGCACACATCCAGCACATATCACCCACACCTTTACTCATGACGGTGGCGGAAAATGACGTGCTGACGCCGACCGACTTGGCCCTAGAGGCCTATTCGAGGGCCCTGGAGCCTAAGCAGCTGCATCTCCTGCCCGGTGGGCATTTTGACGCCTATTCTGGGCCCAATTTCGAAAGGAATGCTAATAAGCAAGCGCAGTTTTTGAGGGAACACTTGTGTGCTTAGAACAGACAAGCGAGAGAGTCTTGATTGTAATAGAAGGTACAAGCACGAGGTATAAGTGCGGAACCGATAAAGTCATCATATACCGTATACGGCCACGGGTGGCGCCACGATGGATCTAGCAAGAAGGATAGCCTGGTGCGCCCTGGGTTGCCCTGCCAAGCAGGACAACCTCCTGGTCGGCCTTCTAGAAATGATCATCAAATGAGAGCATTGTGTCTTTTGCCCTGGCCGATCACCAAGCATGGCCTCTTGGTGATTTCCTTGCCGCTATCGTCAACAAAGCCTACCACTGCCGAAGAAGCCCTTGACGTATCTTTATGGACGTCATCTTCGATCCCACGTCTCGTATACGGCGCCCCTGGAACTCTTGTTTTCTCTCATCGAGTCAGGCGGTTTTTAGAAGCTTTTAGTACGGTACTGGCATCCTTGCACTGCCGGTTTTTGCCGCTGTCGCTCCAGGTGTCTCGGACTTAAGACCACGCAGACAAGCCCCCTTTATCCATTAACCCGACGTTTTTTCCTCCTGGTCCGTCTGAAGAATGTATTGATATTATTCGCTTCTGCTCTGTTATGTAGGCCATCCTGAGACTTGCCGCTGTGGACGACCATAACCTCCTTGCTTGCCTCAATGACGGAACCGCTCCAGTCCCGCGCGCCCAGAAGGCAGAGGAGACAATACCAGAGCTGCGATAATTGTCGCAAAGGCCGGCGAGCTTGCAACGCGGTATCTTTGGGCATCAACCCCTTGCAGCCCAATAGCGCCGGTGCAGGTACTGCAGCGACAGCCTGCTCGACATGTCAACGGTCGAAGAAGGAATGCACGTTCAGATGGCTCCAGGAACTTCCTCGTGGGACGCTACCAGAATGTCTGAAGCAGAAATTCAGCAGGCGTTATCAGCCTGTCAGTTGCGGCGGAGGAGACCTCCCAGCCTCTCGAACAGCATCGCAGGTCCATCCCCAGAATGCTGCTGATTCCAATGAGACAGCCGAGAACAGAACAACTCCCGCCAGCGGACCAGTTGTGAGGCATAAAGATGGTCCACGGCAAGCCCGGATCGCCCCGCGACGTGATCAGCTGGAACCCAACATCAGTGACCAGCAAGCAACTTGCTTGTCCGAAAACGGCGTGGGCAACGCGCCCAACATCACAGCCGACTGCGCCAACTGGCTGGAAAATATTGTGACCTCAACTTCTCCCTTTCACTACGATCAAGGACAAGAGTTCTGGCGGTCTGGGCCTCCCAATTTCAGTAACCAGGAACCACAGCTTGACGATAGTGGCCAGTCCGCGACTTTTGCGAGTTGGGGCTCGCCTTTGTATGGCGCGCTGCTCGGCTATCCTCAATCAAACAACGAAGGCCCTGACAATGGCGTGGATGAGTTGAACCGCGACACATCCTACCCCCTGAGCCACACGGACACCGTCCATCACACACAGGCATCGGGCGACTTGGCTTTGCTCACCGATACAATGCTGGAAAATATTCCTTCTTGTGCACCGCAGATCTCGGACGACGTCACATTCAACATGCGAGAGTTTGACCTTACGCAGTCCTTCGGCAAAGGCTTGATTTCCGATAGACTGCTGAGCATTTACCATGACAGTTTTGAGAATTCGCTCTCTTGCTGGGTCACAGAGTCAAATTGCCCATATAAGATACCGAGGCTGCTTCTGGGGAGTCCAACCCAAAGAAGAAAGCTCCTTTCATATCTGGCTAGTACGCGCTTTTATCACAGGGTCAGAAGGCTCGACAACGCTTTTTCTACTCTCCGCAGACAGCCTCTAAGCCGTGGAGATGGCGCCAGGGCATCCAAGGCCCTCATGCTTGCAATCATGGCATTTGCTAGCCAGTGGACCCATTCGCATGACGGACACCGGCGTTCGCGCTCCCTCTATTCGGAAGCGGACGTCAACCAGCCTCATCAGACATCTGGGAAGGACTTTTCGGATATCAATGGAACGGATCCTTACGACTTTGAACGCCTCATCCAGCAGAGCCTCTGGAATGAGGCGGTTGACGCCGTCCACTCTTGCTTTAATGTCGATTCTTTTGAGCTCATATTTGCCCAGATAATATTTTCCATCATGGAGAGACCTTCTCATTTTGACAAGACGGAAGGTGACGAGCATTCGAGGTTTGACTCTCGTCACAGCAATGTATCGTCAATTTCGTCCGCGTTGGCTGGCAATCCGAGGGACCGAGTTATCCCTTGCCCAGAACGAAGAAGAAAGGCTACGGTTGGTAATGAAAGGTATCTTGAGATTGCACTACATCATCTGCTCGCTTGGAAGAGGAGAATCTCCTCGGCCAAGCAGCAGCAGGCAGTACGAGCTCAGTTTCCATCGGGAAATACTCCGATCTTATCACGGCCGATTTCGCTGGAAGATTACCAGGCGTTTGACATGTTCTTCTGGTTCGGTGTCATGTGCGACACGACATCGGCGGTTCTGAGCGATCGCTTACCTGTGATACCTGATACTGACTCGGTTTTTAATCTTGACGATGGGCAAAGAGCTTCACGTCCGGCCGGCGTCGACGTCTCACTCAGCAGACACAGCCAACCCCAGAGAGACACTACTTCAAAAGCCAGTGTTTGGGCCTCTTGTCTGGCGAATGCTAAGCCCTCCTTATTTGGGGTTCCAACCGTGCGATGGCCGTGGCCGCCAGGAGTCGCCGAAGGTATGCTGCAAGAAGCAACACCAGTCAAGGTGCTGTTGTGGAGAAAAATTACCGTGATCAAGGCCCTCTTGTCCAAAGAGACGACGCCGCCGTCCGTCATCGAGAGATGCATCGCGGAGACATTGAAAGTTTACGAGTATTGGCAAGAACACTACGGCGAGTTCATCCTGAACTGCATCTCAAATCACGCCCACTTGTCGTTCAAAATCCAGTCGTGGTACGTCATCCTTGCCAGTCACTGGCACCTAGCTGCCCTCCTTGTCGCTCATTATATCGACTTGGTGGACGTGACCTTGAGGTCAGAGACCGTTCAGCGCTCGCTGCGGCAGTCATCAGCACTGGTGTTGGAACTGCAGAAAGCCAATGCCTATGCTATTGCCAACTTGGCTAGAGTGGCCAATCCGCCAGAGTCCAATCCATCAAGCCACGAGCAGTCTTTCCACTACGCCAGTGCATACGGCGCTCTCGTCACAGAACCTTGGCCGGAAGTCCTCAACCAGACTCTGACGAGGGCGTGTGAAGTGCTGTTGCTTTGGCTATCATCCACCAAACAACCCACCCCCGCTCCCATTCCCACTGCCTCGCAGCAGGCCTGGATTTCTGCCAATACCAGCGTGTCGGAGCTGACCAAGCATTCTACAAGTTGCATTGAAGCTCTCAATCTGCTCGGGAGCTGCTCTCAGCTAGCACAGCTCGCTGCATTCTCTCTCGAGACGCGACTGAAATCTTTGAACGAGCCTCCTCCTCCCCCTCCCCCCCAAACCTTTGATCTCCATTGGCAGGACTTCGGTTATGATAACCTGGTCTATTGATTCGTCCCTCGCACACAGATCCAACCCAGATTTCACATGCGAGAGCTATGTAGCCTGATGCAGAGAGACGGCCACCACATTTGCAACCGTGGTTGAAAAGTTTGGAGCCGTATTGTACATCAGATTTGCCGGTGAGGTAGTAAATGAGTACGAACAGAACGAAATCCTTTTATTGGATTATCACTATGTCTCAGGCAGGCTAGCGAAGCCGAGTCTTCAGCCGCTTCAGAATTGTCCTTGTGCTGCCCAAAGCTTTAATTCCTATCGTTTGGCTTTCCTAATGGATTCGAAGTAGCCTGTTGTTATAGCCGTCAGTTTTCGAGTTCGCATTCTCTAGCGTCACCGGCCTCCTCGTCGTGAGCCTTACCTACCTTATGCACCGTTAGGTATTAGACGTTACCAAGGGTAGCTGTTGGAGGGCGGGACCGCAACGTTCGTAACTGGTCCCCCCCTTACATATATCCCTCTACTGTTTACCGTCCCCAGGAGAACGGCCATACGAGCGCTTTTGTTGTGCGGATCCACTCACCGAGCCAATTCCCCAGAAGGCCAGGGTGACGGGTCCTATTGCAAAAGGGTGACCATGTTAAACGTCTACTGAATGCTTCTTGGTATATCATAGAACGCACGGATGCTGCAACCCAAAAGCGTGTTTTCCTTCCATTAGCGCCTCGTCCTCCAAGTACAAGTACAGCGGTATTCTCGATATATCTGATCGATCCCATTGAGAGAGATTCACCCATGTCCCAAGACTCCCTCGCCATGGCGCTTGACATCAGGGGGAAGACCGCCATCGTCGGTGGCAGATGCCCAGGCAAATGGACAGCTGCTCACAATATCCGGATGGCATCACCCTTGGTCTGCTCGAATTTACCAATAAGTAGTCTTGCTGAGGGGTCGAGGCTTTATGTATTTGATGGAGATCAAGGCTCGGTATAAGAAGGGGAACACGGTGGTTACATATTAGATGCTAGGTGGGCGCGTTGGACCTATGCCTCCTTGAGGAAGTCATAACTCGCGATGTCGAGACCGCATTGATAGCCAGTAAGCCCCGAAGGCGGCGACCAGAGTTATGAAGGTCAACGGTGCAGTGATCTCGAGCCACTGCCAGAGTGCTCGCGGTGAATACGATCCGGCCCCATGTTGCCGGTCCCAACGGATAACATCGGCGCCGAAAAAGGTCTGCGAATTATCAGCTACCCACAGCGGATCAAGCGCTCTTTACAGGCATTATGCTTACTGAAACGAACGTTGCCGGCAAATAGACGAGCGTCACCATGGTGAGGATGCGCAATGTAACCACCTCCTCCGCACTCTTCTTAGTCAATTCAAGGGATCGATCGGAAGTTTGAGCGTGCATGAGTTCCAACATCTGACCTCTTGTTAGCCTTTCCTGCAAAATGGGGTTTGTCGTGACTTACAAGCCCTTTTCGTTCTCTAGCCAAACTCGTGAGTAGGGCCCCCCATGATATCAGGCCTTCAAAGTCACGGATTATATCCTGCAGCTCACTGTAAAAGTCTAGGGTGGCTTGTAGGACCTCATGTGCGAAGGGAAACTCTTTGTGGACGATCAACTTCTCGTAAAAGGTGCGAAGAGCCTGTAATATGCGAAGATTCGTCTCTAGTGCGGCGACAGCCTCCGAAACTCTCTCTCCATAACTTTGGACCGTCTTTAGGTCGGCTTTGGTGTACGTCGCCTTCGAATCCGTCAGAACAGCCGAACGCGTCTAGAGTCGAGTTAGCTAGATGTCACTTTCAAGAAGTCTCGGGAAAGCAATGCCTTGTTTTGAACGAGTTCCCCTAAACACTGGAAATAGGCACACCACGACTCCCCGGCCCAGCGTGCAAGGGTGGTATGAACTTTGAGGCTCGAAATGTAGCATTCAGCAGGGGTTCCAGATGACCGTCTTTCAATATCATCAGAGTCGAACGTCGCTTTCGTGACAGAATGGCTGAGATTTCCCTCAGGAGTGGTGATTATCCAGACGGTGGTGCCGTGGACGGTGTCCAACTTATGATATATCGCGGCATTATATATAGACCAATTGTGGGCGGGATCACAAAAGCCAACATTTGCGAGGTCGGCGCCCTTTAGGTTAAAGGAAATCTCGTAATGCCTGCCAGATCTACCAAGGTCGGGTGCCTCTAATCCTGGCAGCGGCTTCCCAAAGGCTAGTTGGCCCCAGAAAGAATCGTGTCGGACCCCGTTCAAGGTATTGTGCTGGGTGAACAAGAACAGCAAGTTCAGATGCTGCGCCGGCACCTGATGGTGCGTGAGGACGCGAAAGAGCATTCTTTTTGTGATTCGAAGAGCGTTGGCTCGAGGAGACGCCACAAGGAATCTACCAAATAGTCAGCACAGGTACCATTGGTGCGGTCTCATGCATACATGAACCTGCTTCGTGGATCCGCCCTTGTTATGATATCTCTAGGCGGTATAAGAGCCGATTCATCGCCCAGCTGCTCTGCCAATCCTACTTCATCACACACATTCCGGTAACTATAATCTGATCTGGTCAGCGGCACTCAACGAAAGCAAAAGCAGACCTACTGCCGCGGTTTGCGTGGAGATCAGCAAACCTGACATGCACGGATGAGAGGTCATCGTTGCAGAGATAACCAATAGCACTTTCGGGCATCTCTCTGCGTTGCGCGAGCTGCCGGGCATTCTTCGGATCCATGAGATTCGCGGGATACAGGTCTGCCTTGAAACAGGAGATTATCAATTCAGGCGGGACGCACATGGCTAAAGTCGGGGATTTTGCTCCCAAGCGGCTGGTAGTACTGTGAGAATGCTGTATTATATGGGTTTGTGCCGACTCGGACCTCTGCTTGTAACGACTTTTGATAGCCTCTTGGAGTCTGTAGGACGCATTTTGGCCTTCCCCGTATATCAAAGGCATGTGGACGTCGAAAACCCCAAGCAGACAATAGGCAGCGTCCTCCAGCTTTGTGGTTTCGCGATGTGATGCCCATGACAACCTGTCGCGGACGGAGCATGCATCTAGTCGCCGTTCGCCTGAGAGAACAGGTCCAGGAATCCCCGTGCATTTCGACAGAAGTCCCTGATGTTCGTTTTTACTTCCTCGAGGACGCCATGCCTGGTCGTAGAATTCGACCCTTCTTGGGGCTATCAGCTCTTGTAATGTCCAGCCCCTTTTGTGCCAGCGGCAACGTGCAAAGCCTGTGTGCAGGTCTGCAGTATCCGGAAGGTCGGACAAGTAGACAAAACATATTGAAGCCTCCTGATACCATCTAAACATCGAGTTGATGGCCTCACTGAGCTCCACACTGTTCGTTTTATCAATACAGCAAGTATCTATCCATACGTATCCCAGATGATGGTCCTTCGCGAGCCGACATGTCCGTGTGATTTTGTTGTCTCGCATCCTCAGCAGCGGCCATTGCCATGGCGAACACCATGTTTGGAGTGTGATTTCGTCATTTCCCCAAGTATGCGAAAGAATCGCATATGGAGGGACTGATTTCAGCGAGAAATCCTCGATCTGCAGGGTCTGGACGTTGATGAGCCTCATCTTTGCCAGAGGTGAGGTAGCCGAAACAAGTAGAGCAATAGAAGTTGCCAGTGCAGATGCACGAAACCTCTCGACAATCCTGGCAACACAGGGGCAAAAGAGACCGATGATAAGATGTAAAGGAAAGGAAAAGAGGGAGTCTCAATACAGAAGACATTGCATCTAGCTGGCGAGTACTCGGTATTGGAGTCGCAGAAGTGACCGCTCGAGGTAGGCAGAAAGTGAGGCTGAGCTGGCAACAATAACAATGACGACAGGCAGCCGCTGTCCAAGGCCAAGACCACGCCAAACCGCACGTAGGGGCGCCACCCACTAGCCGCAATCGCGCTAGCCCGTCCTGGGGAACTTTGGTCCTTAGGAGAACTTTGGCACGAGGCTGCACTTGTCACGAGGCTGCCTCCTGCACTCCGACTACACACCGTACTCTTTACCTGTCTTGGTATTTACTTTCTGCGTCAACATATATATTAGAGGGAGAAATAGATCGTCATAACGTCTTCGCCATCCCAGCAACATCCACAACTGCCCTCAACGCCAACGCCGCGTCGCTGGCCTTCTTGGCCCCCTCGGTCCCTAGCACGGGACTCACTTGATCGATGAACTTCTCTTGCAACTGTGCATCCGTCATGGGCACCTCGAGGCTGCCGATGGCGTGCTTGACGTGCTTCGTGAGCGCGCTGCTTGGGCTGGTGAACTCGACTACGATCTCTGCCTCATCTGTGCCCAGCGTTGCGTCCGCCGTGGCGGCGATCTTGTCCCTGACCGAAACGATCTCGGGGCTGGTGACCACGTTGTCCTCGTACTGTGCCGGTCCGGCCTTACCCAGCACGAGGCCCACCGCCCCGCCGTGGTAGACGCTGAACTTGGCCTGCAGGCCGTCCTGGGGCGTCTTCTTGCCCGTCAACTCCAGGACCAGCGGGTGGACCTTGCACTTTATGTTCTTGATCTCCCGCGCGGATAGCCCTTGCTCTTGCATATCCCGGTGCAGCTGGATACACCCGTCGATGATCGGATGGACGACTATCCCGCAGGGGAACGGCTTGAACGAGTTCTTCTCCGTCTCCCACACTTTCCCCAATGTCGGCATTACCTCGTCCAGGTTATGCGTCTCGCTCACCACATTGACCCAACCGCGTTTGGCTTCCAGGGCCTGTGTTGAAGAGGTATACCCCTTTGATGCGAGGGTGGCGGCCATGAGCCCGTTCTGCGCCGACCGGCCCACGTGGAAGGATTTCGTGTCCGAACCGAACATCTCTCGGAGACCGGTGACTTGCGTGGCGGCGATGCCAATGGCGTGGGCCATTTGCTTGGTAGTGAGATTGAGCAGTTTGCCCACCGCGACGGCAGCACCGATCGCGCCGGTGGTCGATGTGATGTGCCTGTTGCCAAATCGGTCAGTCAGTCTACTAGCCACTCGCCAATCCACAGAGACAGAAACACGTGGAAAGTACTAACCAACCGATGTCATAATGCTTAGGCCACACGGCCAACCCAGCTTTGCACTCGGCCTCTATGCCCGTCACCAGGGCCAGGATAAATTCCTCTCCCACGACGGGTTTTCCCAGCGCCTCGGCCTGCGCGAGCAATGCGCTCGCCACCGGGCCCGTGGGGTGGATGATGGTCTCCAGATGTGTATCGTCGTAGTCATGGACGTGCGAGGCGATGCCGTTGATCAAAGCCGCGTGGGAGGCGTCTGCGCTGCCGATGTTGTCCTTGTCCTTGTCGTCGGAATGACCCAGGATGCTGGACGTGGGCTTTCCAAAGAATGGCGCGAGGGCCTTGAGCGCTGTCGTGGTCGTCGGATGGTTCGAGCCGCCCAGCGCGCAGCCCGTCCAGTTGTAGAAACTCCGCACGGCGGCCTGGGTGACTGGCTCGGGCAGGTCGCTGAATTGTAGAGACGTGCTCCAGGCCGCGAGGCGGAGCGTCGCCATGATCCTTCCTGGCTCCTGGCTCCTGACTACCCAGCTAGCGATTTCTGTAGTATGCCACCGATCGAACGACGCCGCTTATTCTCTGCCAATTCCGGATGTATTCTCTAGTTCCTTTAGACTTACACCACCCACGTATATACAGCCTCCTGCTCGAGAGCGATGTGTGGTCGGACGATTCAATAACAAGTGATGGAAGCAAAAGGGGGCCTAGTTCCAAGGGTGCGAGATGTCGCGGAAAAGTGTCGATTCACTCACTCATCATTGATACTTTCAGTCATATTATATATATGGAGTATACTCCCGTACGTTCTTTCCCCACGGGCTTTGTCCGCTCCGTTGCGTCGCTGGCCGTGGCGAGGATGCCGACGGGTGACGGGCAGGTCATGATCCCCTCACGGGCCTGGGCCGATATCGCAAGGAGCAGCCCACCAGCCTTTCTCCAACAAGGCCCAGGGAGACCTGATGGGGTGGCACCGGCATAAATACAGGGTACTTGCGGTCTACGCCTACGTATAAATGCTGATCTCTGGCACAAGACGATAAAAAAGGTATTTCGACACACCGTCGCTACACTACAAAGGGCTTCAAGAACATCGAGTGCATGTACTCCGTACCGATGCCATCACAAGTAGCTTTACCAGCCAGCCTGAACATTTCCCTACTAAGCAACCTCAAGTACAAGTATCAGGCACTTTTGTAGATCAGTCTCAACCATCACGCCAGCCTCGCACACTTAAACATACTCGGCTATTGTCGTTGATGCCCATGTCTTTGAAGGCTTCAGGTCCACAGCCGGGTCCAGCGGTGCAATACCCAAGCCCGTCACGATCGAAACCATGCTTGCTCTTCTTGCTTTGCCGTTGTGGGCCTTGTGGATTTCTCTTTCTTTTTGTCTGAGTTCCTGCCATTCCATCGATCCCTGCTGGAAGATTCCGGTACTGGGGAACAATGCGACACCTGGGTAAACCACCTCATCTTCCCCTCCGTCCAAACTCTTGCGGTGTATCCTTGGAGATACGCAGAGTGGCTCGAAAGTGTTGTCTCCTATGACTATGGGTAGATTCGGGTTTGGCGTATCCTCGATGGTAAACCCTTCACTGAACTCCTTCCACCCAGGACCACCATTCATAGGTGGACCAGTGTCGACGTACACCGGGGATCGATCGCGCCGTGATTCTTGACCGAGTTCCATTGCCTTGGTGAATATGCTCCTCAGCTCGGACTTGAAATCGGGTTTCTGCTTTTCGCTCAACAATGGTTCGAGTTTGTGAATGACATCTAGATCGATCGCAGTTCCTATCTTATCTCCAACGTCCACCTTCTCATCTAGACGATCCAATACCCTTAGTGTGGACACTTTCCAGTCATTTTGAATCTCTTCACCGTCCTTAGCCAGGCGTATGTATATCTCGTTGAGGAGGTTTCTGTCCCGTCTGGACTTCCAGTACTGCCGAGAGAAAAACGGTTGCCAGACAGCATCACGGATGGCATCGAAAATGATATTTTGCACAAAGGCAAGCCGAAGAACCCGTGCACGTTCCGACTCGGTAATTGGCACCACCTGAAAAGCGCTCTTCTTCCTTCTGAGTTGGTTATATGCACCGACCGGATTCTGTACAAACAACGCATGAGAAAGACATCAAAAAGAGTGCACCGCGACGATACTTCACAGAAATTGGTGCTGGAATGGTGAAGCTTACATCCATTGCTTCTTCCGGTAACTCCGAGAAGTATTCACTGGCGATCGAGGCCACCGACTCAACCAAAAGTTTGTATCGGCCCGCACTGTCATTGATCTTTAGTCCAGGCAGGGTGATGAGCAGGGAGGGAAGGATTTCTTACTAATGTTCCTGTGGTAATCTCTCCACTTCATACTTAGCCTTCACGGTGGCAAGCGCTTTTTGGAGATCCTGGATCTCTGCCTCTGCTTTTTTCTGCATCGTCTCATGATTTTCCTTCTCTTGATTGAACTCCTTGCTTATCTTCTCGAGCTTTCCTTCGAGATCTTTCTGCTTTTCCTCAAGGTCTTTTTTGTCCGCCTCTAGCCTCGCAATATTACCTTCATTATCCTTTTCCAGTTGGGCTTTCTTCTGCTCGAGCTCTTCTTTCGCCTTCTGCATGGCTTGGTCCTGCTCTTCTTTCACGCTTTTGATCATCTTTTCGTACTTTTCTCTTTCTTGCGCCCCTGAATCTGCCTGTGATCGTAGTCCGGAGACCTCCCTTGCATGCTGTTTCTGTTGTTCACGTAGCTGCACTTTGTGGCTCTGCTTGATCCTCTCAATCCTCCAAGTTAACGTTTCATTTTCATTCTCCAACTTGTCCACATGATCCTCGAGTACCTGGTCTTTGCTGTATCGTTCGTCCACTGTCTTTACTACTTCTCCGTATTGGTTGAATGTCTCCGTGAGTTTCGTCACCGCGCTCTTAACGACAGAGAAGCCATTCTGAAGGTTCTGCACCTGGTCGTGAATCTGGTCGTTGAACAGGCCGAAATGCACACTGTCAAAGTGGGTGCTCTCCAGGCCATTGTTCTCAACTCCGTTCGGCACCCCGTCAGACACTTTCTCCGCCGTCCCGTTCGTCATTGCATGCATGCCTGACTCGGTCATAGGAGCTGGCCGGACCTTGGATATCATAATGGCCTTGAGTATGTTTGCCCAAGCACAAGAGCGACAACTAGCTTACCGGCAGCTTTTCTCTCTTTCTCGTGATGGAACGCACAGGGTGAAGAATTTTGCCCGCATAAGACTCAATGCTTGAGATCTCGCGGTCCAGTTGCCGGGAAAACCTGTAATTAGGAACTTTGCGGGACATAGAGCACGGCTCTGATCATTGTAAGTGGATAAACTGTTTTGAAGAGAGCGCGGTTGATGCGCCGGAAGTGAGCTGTATTTTGGACCAGTCTCATGAGATGCCCTCTGCTTCTCTCGCTGGCAATCACATGGTAGTGGCAGTTGATCGATTGACTGCCCAAGAACTTCTTCCACGTGTATGCCAGTGAGTGAAGGAACAACGTCCAAATCTCGACCAATGCCATTGGGCGACTCCCTAGTGGTACGAGGATGCGCAGGGTCCATTCCCATTTTTGGATTGCACCGTTCTGTAATTGGACGCATCGGCCTAATCGTGAGGCGTAGTCGAGAACACATGGTCCGTGCAAATTACGGGAGATTCTGAACAGACCTATCAGTCCTTGCACACCATTGCACACGACCAGCTGTTTTGCACTGAGTATTTGGCCCCCCCACATTTGGAGGTCTGAGCTTTTCTGCAGGGATGCGTTGTCATTGTTGTAGAGCCAGAGGGAGAACATGTCTATTCGAACCTGCTGCAAGGATCGCTAGCTGGAAGATGGACAGTAGAATGGGATTGGTGATGGAAGACAAGGCGTTTTAGCTAGTGGCTGATGAGTTTCCCGGACAGCCCGGTCGACGGGCGCCGAGAAAGTCGCCTGAGTGTGGGATGTCCTCGGAACGGACCGCGAACGGGTCAAACGTACCTCATAAATGGTGAGGCGCCTCGAGCGAACCATGGAGCCGAGGCTACCGTAGCAGCGACCCAAAGTTGATATAGAATCGCCACGACCGCCGTTTTTCTCTTCTATTTCTGAAGTGGGCTGGTAACGTTGCTGAGAGCGTTGGATGTATGTCGTAGCCCAAAGCAACTGTCACAATGTACGGTGTAGACCTCATCTGTGGCTGCATACCGTTTTCCTAGAGGATAGGCGGTAGTTGCATCTATGCACCCCTGCGCTTTACTTGGGAGCAGCAGCACTCTCGGTGACAGCGACAATAAACGGTCAATCAGAGATGGATCTTCATTGCCGTCCACATCGTGTTGTAGATGATTCTCGTCGGGACGACCAAGGGTACGGGCCACTTGGCTTTAACGGTGACGAGTACTCCGTATCTTGTTGTACATCACCCCTCTCGTTCTTTCTCGTGCCGATGTCTCTCTCTTTTTAGAGTGGCAAGAGGAAAGCACTCGCGTGAACATCGCATCCAGTGTTCTTCTCCAGTGCTTCATTGAGAGCTGAGGTGGCCGAGATATGGCCCTGGCGCGGCTTTCTCAGGCGCAGGTTCTGTAAACCAGAGACAATAGAAGAAGAGTGTTGGTGATGAGATCCTGATCCTGAAGCTCCAAGTCAATCCGCCCAGGTGGCCGTGGAGGCCCCAGAACCCCCAACGGCCCCCTGCGCCCCCGTTGTGGGCGCGACCGATAAGCGCATTTATCTACACGTGACATGAGATCTTGGCATCGTGACACTCTGGCGAACTTCGCAAAAGGGGCTGAGATCAAGGCTCGGTAACATCAGATCCTCATATCTGTCAACATTTTCTCTCCACATATTAATCCATTACACCACATATTAAGAGCAGACGGCACGGCTCAGAGGGGGCTTCGAGGTCCCATCTTTCGAAGAATTGCCCTGCGTCACTACACCAATTGATGACATTTGCTTCGATTTGCTCGTCACCGGTGCCACCAGCTTGTCACTTCAAGATCTGAACAACTCTGCCAATCGACGTCTTGGCCTCTCTTTCCCTTCGATTGAAAGGAAGGGGTTGTTGCCACCACACCCGTCACTCTTGGAAGCCTCGAGTTCATCGACTTCAATAAAGTCTCAAGTTCCAACACTCCTAATTGACAACCCCCTGCAAAAATGGTCAGTCCCTGCCCACCATCCCTTTTCTCTCTTGCCCACCGCTCATGGAGATGATCCATCGCAGGCTCAAACTCCCGCACAACGTCGTGCCAACGAGAAACACGCCAAGGGCGTCGAGAAGCGCATGGGCAAGCCCGAATCGGCGCACAAGAAGAAAGAAACCAAGAAGTCGCCTGTGGGCATCGCCGTTGTCGGTTCGTGCTCACTTTATTTATTCCATTCTCGTCCCCCTCGCCCCCTGTCTATGGCTATCCTTTTTTTTCCCCCTTTCTTCCCTATCTCCCTTGGACATTGGCCGTTCTCGTCTCTTCATTTCGCGACCGAACATATGAAT